GAATATTAAACTTGTTTCGGCAAATTCAGATGATAAATACAACTTTGAAGCTTTATTCATAAAAAGTCTTTTAATTTGTTTTGTAAAGCACTTTGAATTGTCGCGTACAGAAAAGTGCTATATAAATAAATTTGCCTTGCCTTGCCTTGCCTTGCCTTGCCTTGCCTTGCCTTGCCTTGCCTTGCCTTGCCTTGCCTTGCCTTGCAACGGCATAATTACAAGAGGAGAACGGAGTAACTTAACGTCACAGCAGGCATAACAACAGCCGGTGTTTCTTGTGAGTGTTTTCCCCGGGAAACAAACACAATACACACAAACGCAAAAATACACAAACACACACACACATACACACACTCGCGAGCTTCCCCCAGACCAGTAATCCAAAGCAGTAATGTCACTCTCCAAAGGTCTAAAGAGGAAAGTTGACGGTGAAAACAGGGCATTTAAAGAGGACTAGACAGCGAACTATGCGTTCATCCTACCTGGTTTCATCAATGCAAAGCCGTTGTATCTTATCTGCAATGAAGTTGTGGCTGCTTGCAAAGAATACAATATTAAGCGGCACCACGAGACAAAGCATGACACCTTCAAAGTGGCCTTTCCACCCAAGACAGAGGCACGAAAGCGCAAGATTGAAGCACTGACAGCAGGTTATGCGCACAGCAGCAGGATCCTGGTGCGAGGCCTCACAGCCCAGCAGAAAGTGACAACTGCGTCCCTAAAGGCGTCGTGGGTGCTCGCAAAGCACAACCGGCCATTCACTGACGCAGAGGTTTTCAAGGAGGTGATGGTGACTGTTTTGGAGGAACTGGCCACCGACAAGTCCATGGATGGTGTCATTGCGTCAGTGAAACAGGTGTCCGCTACACGCCGCATAGAAGCACTGTCGGACGCTGTGCAGGGGGTAATTATCAAGGGTCTCAGTCAAGCCAATTACTTTTCCTTAGCCATTGACGAGAGCACTGACAGTACAGATGTAGCCCAGTTGTGCGTCTATGTTAGATATTTTGATGGAAAGGAGTTCAGGGAAGAGCTGCTGTCTCTTATTCCATTAGAAGGGCACACCACCGGGGACGTTATATTTACGAAACTGGAAGAGTTGTTTAGGCTGCATTCATTGTCATTTGAGAGGGTTAACCTAATCGTGACAGACGGGGCTCCTGCTATGGTGGGAAAGCACAGAGGTCTGGTAAGCAGGTTGAAGGAGCACGCCCCCCAAATGCATGGACTGCACTGTCTCATCCACCAGAGTGTCCTTTGCGCCAAACTCAGTGGTGAGCTAAAGGAAGTTATGGACAAAGTGATGCGTGTCATTAATTTTGTCAGGGGTACATCAAGCACCCAGCATCGGCTTTTCCGACAACTTGTGGCTGAGTCAGAAGAGGCCACCCACGATGACCTGCTGCTTCACAATGACGTGCGCTGGTTGAGCAAAGGGAAAGCGTTGGACCGCTTCTGTGCGCTACTGGATGAGGTCAAGGCGTTTCTTAGATTGAGCAAGATTAGGGCAGCAGCTGACCACCTTGCCCTTCTGGGAGACGAAAAGTTGATGTCCAATGTAGCATTTTTAGCGGATATATTTGGCCACCTAAACCAGCTTAACCTGCAGCTACAGGGGAGAGGCAAAACCATAGTGGACATGGTTGAAAAGCTTGAATCCTTCACGAGGAAGCTGCAGTTGTTCGAGTCAGACATATCCACTGGCAGGCTCCTCCATTTCAGTACACTAAAATCACAGGCACTGGGACAAGTGACAGAGCTTATGGTGGACTTCATCAAGCAGCTACGGGCCAACTTCACGTCAAGGTTTGAGGACTACTCCATCCCAAAAGACATCATTGCCTTTGTACGCGATCCTCTCACAGTCCGACCAAGTGGAGACTTCACCTCCCAGGCGAAACAAATGATCCCCTCCTTAGACGAGGCTGCATTAGAAATGGAGCTAATTGCTTTTCAAACAAGCTCCCTGGTCAGCGATGCGCTCAGAAGTGCGGAGTCTGTGAGTGCCTTTTGGGTGGGAAGCTCAGAGGAGTATAGCACGATCAATGTTCCCTTCCACCTATACATGCGAGTCGTCCTTTTCTTCAATGAATGCGATAAAGACGCACGAGAGGAATCGATTGACGCATAAAAACCTCGAGAACTGCCTGCGGATTAAAGTGACGTCCATATCACCAGATATCCAAAAAATAGCGACCGATGGGAGATGTCAGTTTTCACATTAAGTGAGTACCAAGCCTGTCGTAATTGTATTTAATAGCCTAATTATATTTTTGAATTAATAGGGGCGTTCACACCAAGTTCTTTTCCCACAATAGTTCATGAGAACTCAGTTCATGAGAACTCTTTTAGTTCTGATGAACTAAAGCAGATCGCGTTCACACCGCAATGAGTTCCTGGGGGTGGATTAGGCAAATGAAGCCTCTGACGTCACTTCTTCTTCTTCTGCTTTGGGTTTACTGGCAGGCCGCAAACCACTTCACGGCGTATACTGCCACCCGGAGTCCCCGGCCGGAAGTCCCCGGCCGGAAGTCCCCGGAGTTGGGGACTGGCTTCAGTAGAAGCTGCTGGGACTCCCAGCAGCTTCTACTGAAGCCTTCAGAGTAAATCGCCAGAACGCAGACACCTCCTCATCTCCACCGCTCCCATGTTTTCTTTTGTGTTGCCATAAGTTAGTCTCTCTGCGTTTGTGCGCTGGGCTAATGCTAATGCTAAGGATGATAAAATAGCGGCTTCACAAAACTTTTTGGGAGTTTTACGGGGCGTGGTTTGCAATCCGCCCAGCCAATCAGACATAGGAACCTTTTTCTCCCACGAAAGTCCCTGCTCTCTAGCAGGGACGGAAAAGGGGGTAAAAATGGTTCTGATGAACTAATTTAGTTCAGGGGGCTTTTTGGTGTGAATGCAAATATATCTGAGTTCTGATGAACTATTGTGGGAAAAGTACTGAACGCGCCAAATGGCTCATTGTAATTATTATCGTGTTTGCTTTTGTCGTTTCAGGAGCATATGCACCACCACTCCTCGCCCTCCATGATCAAGCGGCTTCTCCAATTTTGTTGTCAATGTTTTGACTGAACTTTGTTACTGTTCACATATAAGTAAACATTACGTTTGAATGATTTAGTGAGCTGGTGTTATTCTTTTCAAACCACACACCGAATGTTGGCTATTTCAGCACCAAGCGCTGTCCACCTATTGATCCACTATCAGCGTCAGTGCACCCCGCTGCCTGATTGTGCCTGTGCTGCATGTCATTCACTCTCAACATGGATAAAAGTACAATAAGCATTCTTCAGGTGTAGGTAGATTCTCTATTCGGACATTATAGCCTATATGTGCGACTGTCGGTCCGATGTTGTAAAAAAAAAAGAAAAAAACCCCAAAATAATATTTTATCTTTTATTCTCAAAATTACGGGCCAAATATTATTGCATGGTCTGTACTGAACTAAAGAGTTCTCATGAACTAAGTTCTCATGAACCTTTGTGGGAAAAGTACTGCGGTGTGAAAGCGCCTATTGCTTTTTTGTCGAGGGAACCCGAGCGCAGCTTATTTCCGGGTTTTAGGACGCGTCACTGCACCACTTTATACCCTTTATACACATGCATAAGGCGCGTTCACACCGCAGTACTTTTCCCAATTTAGTTCCGATATAGTTCCGAAATGTTGCGTTCACACCAAAAAGAGCCGGAACTAAAATTCATGAGAACCTTTTTTACCCCCTTTTCCGTCAGTTTTCCGTCCCTGCTAGAGAGCAGGTACTTTCGTGGGAGAAAAAGGTTCCTATGTCTGATTGGCTGGGCGGAATGCAAACCACGCCCCGTAAAACTCCCAAAAAGTTTGTGAAGCGGCCATTTTATTATCCTCGCATTAGCATTATTAGCATTAGCATTAGCCCAGCGCAGAAACGCAGAGAGACTAACTTATGGCAACACAAAAGAAAACATGGGAGCGGTGGAGATGAGGAGGTGTCGGCGTTCTGGCGATTTACTCGGAAGGCTTCAGTAGAAGCTGCTGGGAGTCCCAGCAGCTTCTACTGAAGCCAGTCCCCAACTCCGGGGACTTCGGGCGGCAGTATACGCCGTGAAGTTGTTTGCGGCCTGCCAGTAAACCCAAAGCAGAAGAAGAAGAAGTGACGTCAGCGGCTTCATTTGCCTAATCCTCCCCCAGGGACTTATTCCGGTGTGAACGCGATCTGTACTTAGTTCATGAGAACTAAAGAGTTCTCATGAACTAAGTTCTGATGAACCTTTGTGGGAAAAGCACTGCGGTGTGAAAGCGCCTATAAACTTCACAGCAGGCGGAACTTGTCATAAAGTCCGCGAAAATAAAGCCCACCCATTTAGAGGGAAGATATGATTGGTCAATTGTACTGTCATTTGACATTACTCTCTCGTTGAGTTACTAGGGCCCTCTGTGAATGTACAGCAGGACCACCAATCAGCTCCTCTCTTCACAGTAACTTGCAGAGAGGGCTAAAGGAGCTTCTTTCATTTAACCCTTCACATTCCAACAGAAACTGAACAGGCAGATTCGAAGGATTTATTTCTTTGGAAATGTTATTTTAAATACAATTAAATCAAGTTATTTTGGTAAAACTAATGAAAAAATATTTTTTCATTAAAAAAAAAATATATATTTAAAAAAAAAATTAGTGAGAGTTATTAGAATATCTTAGGAGGGCCTAGAGGGCCTTGACGGCTCGCCACTGGTCACTGCTAGCTTTACGAAACGCGCAGAGAAAAACGTAAAAAGCATTAAAGAAATGTGGGTGGGATTGTTAATCTTAAGAATCTAGCGTTATTTTAGTTTTTTAAACTATTGGATTGATGAAGAAGATTTAGGTTTTTATTTTGTATTTTGCTTGTGTTCAAGTGTGGACCAGACCAGACCCACCAAGAGCTCTGGTCCACACTCCGGCAGTAGGTGGCGGTAATGTGCCCAAGACGTTATGTTCCCGCCCCCCAGTAAACAACAAGAAGAAGAAGAAGAAGAACACTCCGCTTTGCCTTTGCAGTCCACAGTTGCAGCCAGGTTACAAAACCCAAGCTGAGCTTCACGAACACCTCAATCAGGTCGGAGCCTCCATTGCGTCGCGGAGAATGGGTTTTGATACGTTCTGCAGCCTGGACAGTTCCGATCCATTTTGGGTGAGTTTATTTTCACTACCGTAACCTTTATATATTTCCCTCTAGTTGTTAATAGCTAACGCTCATATATCTGACTGAGACCCGGTAAGTTACATTCCCAGAAGAAGCCACCCACAGTCTGTTCTGTAACACCGGCAAAACCACATGCCTGTGCCCGGTGCTGTGCCCGGTGCTGTCCCCCGCGGTGTGTGTGTGTCAGCCTCGGCGTGGACCCCCAGTGTGGACCCCCCCCCGCTGCAGCCCTGGACACAAAACGCCATGTGAGGCTGGTTTCTATCCAAGCGTTTATTTGCAGTAATCCTGGTACCGTCGGTAACCATTTCGTAACACCTCGAGGAAACTCAGGTATTTTCATGGGAGCCTGTCTCAGGACACCTCCACTCTGAGGACACCTCCACTCTCAGGACAGGAAGTGCATGCACGCTAAGAATTACAAAATAAAATCGCCACTATCAGTACAGTGCATACATATATATATATATATATATATATATATATATATATATATATATATATATATATATATATATATATATATATATATATATATATATATATATATATATATATATATATATATATATATATATATATATATATATATATATAAAAATATTATAAAAAAAATAGGGACACCTTGTATTGTTTACTCTGTTAGGCCTGTCACGATAATTAATTTTGTTGGACGATAAATGTTCCCGGAAATTATTGCGATAAACGATAATATTGTCGGCACCGTTGTAAGACCATTTTAGACCACTGACATAATGATAATATATAATAATAATTCAAGTACATCCTTTCAAACAGAACTTTTTATTGAACATCCAACATTGCAAATGAAATGTGAAATAATATTCAAATATATAAATTATATATAATAAATAAAACAAATTAAATTATAAAAAATGTATTAAATCACACACAACAAAAACAATCAATTACATAGACTCAGGCTGGAAAACAGAGCTCTCTCTCTCATATATATATATATATATAAATAAATATGAGCACACATTGTCTCACAAGCAAAAAAAACCCTCCTTAAAACAACAGTCAAGTGTACAGTCCACTGTCCATACAAAGACCCAGATGCCTCAACAGGCCATATCCAAATCTGTATTTCAAAGATTTCAAGCAAGGAACACCAACATGTTTGCATTGTCAGGCAAATGCATCTTTGATTGTAAACTGTCGGGAAGGTGGGGGCTCTCCATCTCCAGCTGCCGTGTTTGCTACCAGCTGGGAAAACGGAATGGGTAGGTTGTGTTTCAGGTGCAGTTTAAGGTTGGTCGTATCGCTAGCTTTTGTTGCTACCTTTTTAAAACAAATGCGACACACCGCCCGGCTCATTGAAGTCCGTAGGTTCGCCTCATTGATTTGGCTTAAATCCAAAATATTCCCACACCGGAGATGGTATTAGGTTTTGCAACCAATTCCATTTAACTTCAAATTCCCCTCGAGTAAGTCCTGCTTGTCTCTATATTATTAATTTGGCTGCTACACTGCTGCACGCGGAGTTTTCTGACTTGGCTGTGTGTGAGCCCCGCCCCTCACAGCGCGCCGGGCTAAAATTCTGGTCACATCCTTATGTAAACAAACACGCATGTAAACGGCAATTTATCGTGCTCAGAAAAGTTATCGAGTCCATTTTTATTTATCGTACGATAAGTCAATTTATTGATTATCGCGACAGGCCTACTCTCAGTACAGCACCACTTTCCGAACAGGAAATGCACGCTAATACAAAATAAAATCGCACTGACACTTATTATATCTATATATATATATATATATATTTATATATATATTTATATATATATTTATCTATATATATATTTATATATATATATCTATTTAATCAGGGCTGAATAAAACATTTTAATTGTTTTATTATTATGTTTATTGTTGTTATTTGTAGGGCTTTGTCCTAATATTTATTTTTGTATTAAACTATGTTGAAAGATTAGTTTAATATAATTTTTTTATTTTGTTAGGAAATTCTGAATGAAAGGCTGCGCACGAGACTGGTTTTTCGCTGGGTTGAGTCGTTTGGGTTTTTTAGTGAGATGCGGCACAGCAGCCTGTCAGTTTACTCTTGCTAGGTTAGTTTGGCTATTATCATTTATATTTATCTGCAACAATGGATATCAGGAAGTGGTTCACGAACAAAAAGAGCTCACAAAAGGAATATGGCAACTCAGCGCCAGATGCAGGCACATTAGAAGAAATCAGTTACGTTACCAACGAGCTAGCAAGCCAGCCCGGGACAAGGGAGGCTGGCAATCAATTATATTTTGAAGAGAAATTGACTCTCAAGCCGGCTCTCTCACAAACTCCTGCTCTGTGCGCAAGCAGACCGCTGCACACGCTCTCTGCCTCGCTCAATCTCTCTCTCTCTCTCTCTCCCTTTCTCTCCATCGCTCAACCTCACTCCACCTCTCCACCCTGTGTGCGCTCAAGTTTGCCTGCGTGCTTGCTTGCCCAAGTTGGCACAGCGTTACAAATGTGCCACAAAACCAACCAATGGATGTATAATAAGACCGTCAACAGCCTTATGGCAACCTAAAACCCCTCTCTTTCCGTAACAACAATTCACGAGCGCCTCCCTCCCCCCCCCCGTTGACAAATCTCGAGCGTCTAACAACCCCCCCCCTCCGTTGAAAATTCAGATTTCCCGGGAAAATTCAGATTTCCCGGGAAATGTAAGTTATAAATAACGACATCTTGTATTTTAGTTACACCCGCTAGACAACAGTGGAGGGTTCGAGAAACAACCGTGTTTGCCGGGTGCACCGCGGCGGAGGTGGGGAGGTTCCAGCCGGGAATATCGGCCGGCCCGGGAAGGAAGAGACATGCAGCACACCCTCCCGGGCCATCAGAGTCGAACCCGCAGTTCGGAGGAACCGACCGCCAGAGCACCGACACTAGGCCGGGCCGGTGGAGGCCCTCCGATGGTGGGTCGCGTTTGCCATTCGATCAGTGAGAGGAGAGGAGAAAAATGCAACAAAAATGGTCAAAATCCATTAATATATGGATGAGTGGGGGGGGGAGAAACGGCTGGACACAGGCCGTGGGGACATACCCGAGACCGGGCAGTGTCCCCGGTAGAAGGAACCGGGTGAAATAGCCAAAAAAAGAAAAATTAATAAAACCGGGGAAAAGTGAAAATAAGTGTCCGAAAATAGGCACTCGTGAGGCGGGCAGAGTCCCCTGTCAAGTCCTGTTACATTCCTCCATGGTGTCATTTGAGCGAAAAATGGCTAAGTCAACTTTTACAAGAACCAGGCTGGGGGGGTCAAAAGGGCTTGACCAAGGCCGACCCAAAGTGCATGGTGAGCGGACTCATCGGAGTCTCCATTGTGATTTGAAAACTTCCATCAGAATCGTCACTTCCTGTACTGAGAGTGGAGGTGTCCTGACAGTGGAGCCTACACCGGAACTGTCCTGAGAGTGGAGGCTTGCAGGCAGACCCCTCTCGGTATTTCCGGCATCAGTGATATGACGTCAAACACAGCTGGAATGATGTTCAACAATGGCAGGACTGTGAATACCTAACTGTTCCCTTTGGAATGGTGTTATTATGGAGTTATTTAAGATAATCAAACTGTTTTGCCCTTTTCTTTGATAGGAGTGGTTCTCTCCGCATTCATTACTTAAATGTCATCTTCATACTTATTTTTTATATTTTTTTGTATTGATGTCTGTGACATCATGTTTACAAATCAAAACAGCGGCTGGCCTCTTTGCTAAAAGCATAACTGGGGCGTGTGCAGGGCCGGTGGACAATAAAGGGTAGAGAAGGCCTTTCCTAAGTCATAGGTCTCTATACTGTTGTGCAAACCAATTTTCCCTAAAGGTCTTTACACACCAAGCCGATTTTCGGCGTCGATAGATGTCGATAGATGTCGATAGATGTCGATAGATGTCGGGCCTTGACATGATGAGCCTTGATGAGCGTCGTGTCGCCCTACTCAGATTGGTGTGTCTTGGTGTGTACTGCACCGCTGTGTCTTTTCGGCCGTGCCGACACCTTCGGCCGCCGATTCGACATGTTGAATCGGGAGGCTAAAGGCCGTCGGCCAAAGAAATCACTCTGATTGGCTGTTCAGCTAGCGAATCAGTGCATGAGAAGCGAAACGAAAGTGAGGGACCCAAACAAACTATTAAGAAGGCAAATCTGAGATTTCATTTAACTCCAGCTCTCGACACAGGTTCGGGAAAGCCCCATGAGCTTCTCGCTGTAGAGTGAAAATGGAATGCACATGCTATTTGTTGTTTGTTTATATCACGCAGTCTGTTCTTCTTCTCTCGGTTATCACGCAGTCTGTCTTCCGGTTGTTGCCTCTTTTGAATGACGAATACACACTACCGCCGCCTGCTGGTAAGGAGAGTTATTGCCACACGCATGCGCAGTTCGTACGCGCAACTTGGCCGTCGGCTGAAGTCTTTGCGGTGTGTTCCAGTGCGAAACAGGGCCAAGACGCAGGAGACGTGAGGCGACGTTCCGTCGGGACGTGTTCTTTGGTGTCAGTTTGGTGTGTAAGGACCTTTATGGGGCATTTCCACCATGGCGCGGAGCGCGGTTTAAGCGTGCCGTGTCGTGCCGGGCCCGTTTTTGGTTGCGCTTCCACTAGGCCTAGTTCCGGCCCGGGGGTACTTTTTCACCTCTTTTCTGGCCCGACAAAATCGTGGTTCTATCGGGGCCAACAAACAGGGCTGAGTATGCTAAACTAGAGAGAGAATCGCTGGCAAGGGGGCTACAACTACAACAAGATGAACATATTTGACCGTGATTTAATTGTAATACACGTTTCAAAATGATGCCGAAGTAACAACATACTGATACCGGTTAGTAAAAACCATGAATTAATGCTTTGACAAGTCTGCAGACAGACGGCAGGTGAAAAACCTTTTTAAAATGCGTGTTTTCTAGATGGAGATTGGCTAAGCTAACGCAGTGTATGCTCCGACCGTCCACACTCACAACAACGGCCTATACAGACATAAATAAACCAGCGACTGTATTCGCCATGACACAGGCAGTCTGTGGTTTGTACTTGTTTAACTTTTGTCTAGTTTCTGAACAGATATAAGGAGCTGTGAGCTCTGAGTGCTAACGGCTAACGGCTGTGTTGTTTTTCTGGGGTTCTCATTGAAGATGACGTCACGGCTCCGCCTACACTGCGTTACTATAGTAACTACCCCAGTTCCTAAACTGTAATGGAAGCGCAGCATGAAGTGAGCCGGCCCTAACAAGGCCCAACGCGGCCTAGCAGTACCGAGCGAGGCCGAGGCCGACCGTGTGGTGGAAATGCGCCATAAGATGCCTCATATGCAGGCTTCTGCTATGATGTATGATGTCTAGCAACTCCAATTAGGTAATGCCAGTGTGAGGTCATCAACAGCAAGACTGTCATCTTTTAAGGGTACCAGCGAACACAACCCATTGACTTAACCTGTACAGTGAGCCCAGTAGCTTCCTCTTTAGCATTTTTGTTCAGGCATCTGTGCTTCTCTCTCCTGCAAGCACATAGGGCTGAAGGTCCTATCCAAAAAGAAAGCTTTACATCTGACGCAGCCTTTCCTCTCAAAGTGCCAGAATGCAGGAAATGCATCGCCTACACAGGGCCACACGAAAACACCTGGGGCGAACTCTTGGTAATTCACAACCTGAAGGTGAGCTCTACATGAGGGACACATGTAACTCTAGCATCTCCCACGGCCTGCTCTTGGCAAAAAAGTTGCACCTGAACAAAATACAAACACATATGTACTGCACCTGCGTGAGAGGAAGTCACTACCTGGCACTGTTGGTCTGTATTCGGTAACCAGAAAACCAAATAAACAAAGGAGCATTTGCAGACCATTTTTATACCAATCTCACACACCACTTTCATTTGTATCCAGATAGCCATGTCAATGTGGAAATTGGAATGACGAAACAAATAATATGATCTTTTTTATTTATATTTCCTCTTTTGTCTTTTTTCCTCTACCAGGATTGGAACCGTACATGGTACACTTCTAACCCGGACCTCACCCAGTGCTTCCAGAACACTGTCCTTGTGTGGCTGCCATGCCTCTACCTTTGGATGTGTGCCCCCATCTACCTCATCTACCTCCGCAGCCATGACCGGGGCTACATATGTATGACTCACCTCAACAAAGCTAAAACTGTGAGTGGCCGTACCCTTGATTTATTTTTGAATATCAGTGTCATGGAGCTCTGGAAAAAATGAAGAGACCACTGCAGTATTATCCGTTTCCCTGGTTTGACTATTTATAGGTATCTGTTTGAGTAAAATAAATCTTTTTCAATTGTATTCTGTGTTGGAATTCAACAGACACTGGATTGGAATGGCTGCCATACATGTAGAGATTGAGATTTAAGAAACGTTTGTAGTGGTCTCTTTTCCGGATCTGTATATTGATTATGCTACTTTTCCTGCTCTCCATTTTAATTGCTCCTTTAATATTGTCCTGTTTGTTATTGTAGGAGGAAAAACATGAGTAGTAATACTTCTTTCATACACAAGATGTTTGTGTAAACCAATCAGATTTTACTTTCAGAATTGGTTTTATTACCAAGTAGGTTTACACATAGGAGGAATTTACTTTGGTATAAATGTTGCACGCAAAGAAGAGTACTATACTATAGTATTGTTACTACTAAGACTATTGTAACAAATAAAAAATATAGACAATATTTACACAAAATATAATTATGTGTGAAACGGAGTAAAATATAATGACAAATACAATATACTATATTCACAGTGAGAGCTGTGCAGATTTAAGAAGAGGTAGTGTGGCGCAGAGATGTGCAACATGTTGTGCAGGATTTATAATATTGAAAAGAACAAGATTGTGTTTGCATGATGTGCATCATTTAATGCAGAATGTTCTTTGGGGGATGGATAATAGTCACTGTCAGTTATATTGTACAAACTCACACATTCTAATTGTCCCTCAGTGGGCATTTCATTTTGTTGAGCTGTCCTTGGATGCTTGATCAGGACAAGAAAGGTTTTCCCACAAGAAAGTGAAAAAGAACAAAAAAGAATGGGAGAAAATGTCCTTAAGGGCAGCAACTGTGGAGGAATCCCTCCCCTAGGATGGGCAGACATTCGATAGATGTTATTTGTACACTAAAATTACACAAGCCACATGAAAAATATGGAACTAATAATTATAATAATAATAATGTGAACATATATGAAAAGTATGGATCAAAGCAGGACAAAGATGAAAGTCATTAGCCTACTCTCATACAGAACACAGACTGAGAGCTGGTTCTGCATGACGGGAGTTTAATACCATTCAAAGTATTCAAAGGCCATATTTGTGTTGTGCAAAATGGCTTCAGGGAAGTTTTGGCAATGACAATCTCAACTTTTAGTCTCTTTCAACAATGCAACATTCCATATATAATTTGTTACAAAAGCACACACATCCAGGTTCTGGTGTGGGACAGGGAACATGCAAAAGACGGAACAAATAAACACTACACATTAGATTATGCTTAGATTTACCTTTTCAAAAAAACGGATTACAACAAGCCTGCTTACTGCGTTAACTTGTGTTTTTATATTTATTTTTGGGGATGAATAATATCTGCTATTCTATCCCACAGAAATGCATCTAAATAAACATTTGACAAAACAATCTAAACATGGAAGAAAATACACAAAATTGTGCAAGACATTTGGGGGATACATTATAAGTAGTGCTGGACAACGATTAATTGCAGTGTTATGCACAAAATTCAATAATAAATTCAAAAGTGGTGTATTGCTCACTTTTATTTTAAAAGTACTGCCATATGAACAAAAGCGCAATAACATTTGGTTTGCAAACACTTTAAACAATAGGGTGCTTTTTAACAGCAGTATCCCCTTTACACAGTAGCAGTTCAAATATTTATTGTAAATCTCAACTTAGACATTAATTAATGTAATCAAATATAAAACCAGAGCTATTTGCCACTGCCAGGGCTTTAACGTGTTATAGAAGTTCCCCTCAGAGTCCAAAGATAAGAGAACTCAACTTTGCAGTGGTTCCAAATAACTCTGGTTCTATCAACTCCTCAGTCTGAAGAGATGTAAAATGTCCATGGCTGCTTCTTCTTCTTATTTTTCATTTCCTCGCTCCTCGGTCCTCGGTATCACTGGAAGTTGATTTGTCTGCGCCATCTTGAGTAGCGTCCCAGTGCCCTTATTTGTGCCGGAGGACCGAGGATCGAGGATCGAGGAGCGATAACTGAGGAGCGATAATCGAGGAACCACGAGACCATCCTCCGGTGAAATCCTCAGCCACTCTCCCCGCCCCCTTACTGTGTATCGCTCACTGATTGGACGATGCAGCGCATGCACTGATTTGATGCTTCTTGACATGAGAGCAGTTTCCCAGCGGAGTGAAGAAAACACATGAAACTCACGGGACTCACTCCTCAGTTCATACTGTGTTTTGTTTCAATTCATGCATCATTCAGTTACAAATATGTGATATATCTGAACAACAAAGTGGTCAAAAATTATTTTATTCATTTATTGGAAACATTTTCATGATCGCTTTTTCCGTTTTACATGTTCATTTATTGTCATTTCCATTCAGTCAGTCATTAAGTGCTATTTAACATGTTAATTTGCTACATATCCACACAAACAGACAAAGTGTGCAATCCAATGAATGTTAATCTAACTGGGTTTTGATAGATAACATATCTCTTTTTCTTCTCTCAATTATTTTATTTCTATTGTGCACTCTAATCAATATTAATCTAACTCTTGCTCGTTTATACATTTTAAGAATGGCGTTTATCTTTTTTGAGAATGAGTTCTTATTTTATTTAATGTATTTGGGTCTACAACAGATGATACAAATGTATATGTCAGTAAATGTGTACTAACAGAGGCGGGGGTGTTTGTGAAAACAACGGGGACAGAGCTGCTGTCAGACGATCAGCTGTGCGGCGTCATCACAAACGGACGTCGCTTTGTGTGATGCTTTCCCTGCTTCTTCTCCCTTCTCGTGGTTTCCTTGCGTCTCTCCATGCTTCCCTGGTGGGAGGGACTAAGACGCAAGGAAAAGATGCAAGTGAGGGACGCAAGGATTGCATTTTGGGCTGCTTCTCAGGTCGATTAAATTGATTCCTTGCGTCCCTCACTTGCGTCGTTTCCCTGCGTTTAGTCCCTCCCACCAGGGAAGCATGGAGAGACGCAAGGAAACCACGAGAAGCAGGGAAATGAGTTTTAAGAGCAATGGGACGTCCTTTCCTCCGGGGCGTCACGTGAAGCGACGTCCGTTTGTGATGACGCTGCACAGCTGATCGTCTGACAGCAGCTCTGTCCCTGTTTTTTTCACAAACACCCCGGCCTCTGTTAGTACACATTTACTGACACAAACATTTGTATCATCTGTTGTAGACCCAAATAAATAAAATCAAATAAGAACTAATTCTCAAAAAAGATGAACGCCATTCTTAAAATGTATAAACGAGCAAGAGTTAGATTAATATTGATTAGAGTGCACAATATAAATAAAATAATTGAGAGAAGAAAAAGAGATATGTTATCTATCAAAACCCAGTTAGATTAACATTCATTGGATTGCACACTTTGTCTGTTTGTGTGGATATGTAGCACATTAACATGTTAAATAGCACTTAATGACTGACTGAATGGAAATGACAATAAATGAAAATGTAAAACGAAAAAGCGATCATGAAAATGTTTCCAATAAATGAATAAAATGATTTTTGACCACTTTGTTGTTCAGATATATCACATATTTGTAACTGAATGATGCATTCATTGAAACAAAACACAGTATGAACTGAGGAGTGAGTCCCGTGAGTTTCATGTGTTTTCTTCACTCCGCTGGGAAACTGCTCTCATGTCAAGAAGCATCAGATCAGTGCATGCGCTGCATCGTCCAATCAGTGAGCGATACACAGTAAGGGGGCGGGGCGAGTGTCTGAGGATTTCACCGGAGGATGGTCTGGTGGTTCCTCGGTTATCGCTCCTCCATTATCGCTCCTCGCTCCTCGCTCCTCGCTCCTCCGGCAGAAATAAGCGCCATGGGACGCTACTCAAGATGGCGCAGACAAATCAACTTCCGGTGATACCGAGGACCGAGGAGCGAGGAAATGAAAATAACCGACCTGAGACGCAGTCTAAGAGAAGCGAGATGCAGCCTCTGTCAAAGTTCTGTACTTTCCTCCATGTTTCTGTCCCCGCCACTGCTTTCTGTTTCCGTTCATGTGAGCGCTGCAGCAGTCTTAAGCCCGCCCCAAATGCTCTCATTGGTTGAGACGTGTGATGACGCCCATCCTAAACCAATCCTGATCAACATCCCATCCCTCCTGTGACCCATGGTCTGTCTGTATCTGTATTCAGAGTCATGTCAAATAAAATACTGTGCAGTTGAAAAAACACTACTTGTTGTTTTTACAAAGCTCATGAGTTCAACAGTCTTATGGTCTGCGGGATGAAAGTGAGTCTGCTGGCCTTCGTCCTGATGCTGCGGTACCTTGGGCCAAGCTTAGTAGAGCCTTTTGATTTTTTTTGTAGTGCACATTCCGCTGAATATGGACATATGAACATGGCCTTTTAGAGTGCATTGTGCTCCTGCATTGTTGCATTGTGCTCCTTTTTTAAAACAGTGACCAGTTACTGATGCCAGCTGTACACCTTATCCTGAATGATCCATTTTGTTGTTCCTGTGGTGTATGTTGTTGTTGTTGTTGAAGTGTGTTTTAACCAACATGCCGCCACATTATGCCACCTGTTATCGTGCACTTATTATTTCAAGATTGTCCTGGAAGATTTGATCACATACGATGACAACCATGTGCAATTTTTTTAATAAAACAGCAATTGTATTATGTTAGCTAAAATAAATCTTTAACTAGTCAGAAACTGCAATTTGTTCTTCTGCCCGCAGGCTGTCGGCGTTCTGCTGTGGATGATCTGCTGGTCGGACGTGTTCTATTCTTTCTGGGAAAGAGGTCATGGCAGCAGCATCCCCGCCCCTGTGCACCTGGTCAGCCCGATGATACTGGGCCTCACCATGGTGAGAGGTTATCTTTGTCATTTATATAGAAAGGTTAAGAAAGGGTTTGTTGTATTTTTAAGAGATTGGAATCTTTAATCCTTCGTTTTTTGTGGCTGTAGTTTTGTTTTCTGAAAATGTCTGGTTCTAGTTAAGTTTTCATGTGATTTAGTTTTAGTTTTATTTGCATTGTTGTGAAGATTACAAGAATGATAAAAGAGAACTTAGAACTGAATATATTCTCTGAGCGTAGTTTATTTGCACATAGTATACATCAGGGGTCGGCAACCTTTTTGATATGAAGTGCCATTAAAAAAAAAAAAAAAAAAAAATTGTTATCAGCGTGCCGACGATCGTAAACTGTCAACAGGAGGGCGGGGTAACCTCGCTGCGGGGAAGCAGTGTGTGGACCTGTCAGCGCAACTTACATTAGGGATGCTCCGATCGCCGATCAGATCGAGTGGGCGGGGCCTATGGGGATCTTCCATTTAAAGAAATGTTTAAAACTCAGTTAATGGGGCTCATTCACTGGCGCTTCCACAAACAACAACCAACATAATTGTTACATTCAAATGAAGTAGCCAACATTATTCAAGTTTACATTAACTTTGGATAATAACACGGGAGAAACGAGCGGAAGCGCTCTCTTTTCCTCTCTCCGCCTCTCTCTCTCTCCTGACAGCCCGTCAGTATCTCATGCAGCTCACTGATCCAGTAATGAGTGACCCAACAGTGAAGAATACATATATTTATAGCTAGTTCCAGAGGTAGATAAAATAGCTAAGTGTGTTAGGTCTAACTTGTGTGTTCTGCTCCGCTCACCGGTCCGTCACAGCGGGTGGAGCTGCAGGATTTCTGCTTCACACACGTTGCACCGCTATTTTATTGTCATTTTCGGACACCTTCAAATACTGCCAGACTGGTGAAGCCATTTTGGCGAGCTTGATTTGCCGCACACAGAGAAAAGTGTCATGTATTTTACGTCATGCGATCGGCATTTTTAGAGATCACTGATCGATCGGCAGAGAGTGAGTATCGGCCGATATCGATCGCCACGCAAAAACTGTGGCATTTGTACAGCTCCTTATGGGTACTGCAATTTGTGAAGTGCTTTCCTCTGTGGTGAAACGGTCAGCACTGCATTACGGAGGAAAGCGGCAGAAAGTCACCTGGAGTTAAAGAGAGCGGGGCTGCGCTGCGTGCATGGCTTCCTTCTGCAGGTAACGGGGAGACGCGCTCTGGCGGCGGTCTCGTTCAGGATCCAAAAATAATTTTTTTATATTTTGCACACTTATTCCACTTATTCCACTTATTCCTAGTGTGCCACTGGTTACGGTGCCGCGTGCCAATGCTGGCACGCGTGCCAGGGGTTGCCGACCCCTGGTATACATCATCAAATTCAGTGCAAGGTTCATGTGTGTAGCTCAAAAGAAAAATGATACTCAAACTGGTATAACCTTTGCACCTTTACAAAAGTGCAAAACGCCTTGCACTCCATTCATACATTTATGTTTTTATGCTAAGCCTTTTTCTAGCCATGTGCTGCATTTCCCCAAAAGCATCACTAGGCCTGATATGTAATCGAAAGAAGGTTGCAGGCCTTTAACAAACAAAGCTTGTAAAGATAGTGGTGAAGCTGTAACCAGAACAAGAAGAGTTTATTTTTATTGCAATGTCATTACTTTTTCACGTATGGTGTATAAATGCCTTTTTTAAATGTGTTTTTGCTGTAGTTGCTTGCCACACTGTTGATCCAGTATGAACGGATGAAAGGGGTTCAGTCGTGTGGTGTTCTGCTGATCTACTGGCTGCTGGCCCTGCTGTGTGCCACGGTCACCTTCAGGTCCAAGATCCTCCAGGCCCTGGAGCAGGTCAGTCTTGAATACCTACATTTGGATTAATGGAGTCTTTAAAAACCTATTGATATGCAACATGTTTGGCTTGGCACAGGTTAGTAGTTATTCCCAGGACCATGAACACAGTTCCCTCAGATGGTTAAACAAACTAAGCAATACCTTACAACAGCAAGTTCCATGGGTTCAAACTTTCTTTCCAGCTGTGGACAGTGTCTGTGTGGAGGTACACCACCTTCTATATCTACTACTTCCTGCTGCTGGTCTCTCTGTTCCTGTCCTGCCTGACGGACAAACCCCCCCTGTTCTCCCAGGTCATCAAAGACCCGGTGAGTTTCCTTCACACTGTCCACCTGCTCTGTTTCTGCTTCCTGCCTCACTTTTTATCTCTGGATTGGTTGGTGAATGGGACAAATCAATGGGCCAAATTCAATAACCATCATGCCTCTGTTCTTTTCAGCTAACAAAGTGTCTTTGCTACTTGTCTCCTAATTAAGGTGGGGGACTGCGTTTGCTTCTATCCTTAGTCAGCGGATCTTAAATAGATGCACAACTATTGAATAATCACTGTGCTCCATTGGATGCTTACTCCTCATTCTGGGATCAGTATCTCGGCAGAATACAAATATTTGGGGTCTAACTTCATGTTTTTGTCTTCAGAACCCCTGCCCTGAGCCCGGAGCTCCTTTTCTCTCCAGAATTACCTTTTGGTGGATCAACAGGTGAGCAGCCGATTTATATATTCCTTTGGATGTCAGGCTAATATTTGTTTCTATATACATTTTTGCAGTCTGACAACTTTTAGACTCTTTACTTGCTGTGTCCATTCTTCAGTTGTCTCCTCTTATTAAAGAATCTAGAAGGATAACCGTAAGAGAAATGCACAAAATATACACCGGACAGCTCGCCTTGTAGAGCATGCGGCTTGGGAACCATTTGCACAAGTTCTTCCTCCGTGTCCCCCTTTCAAATCTGAGTCTAAATCAAAGGCACTAATGGCCAAAAACTATTCTTTAAAAAAAAGACATGCATAAACACACGCGCACAGTGGCAAGAAGAGGCAGGTGAACCCTATGGAATAACCTGCATGGTCTGATCTTCACCTAATATACAATAATGAACAAACACAATCAGTTTTTACTAATAGAACACTGTATTTTGTTCTTGTCAATATTGAAGACATTCAGTTGGAAAAAGTATGTGAACCCCTAGACTTAAAAAAAAAAAAAAAAGAGTTAGGAGTTAGCAAACCTCGTTTTAATCAGTGAAACAAGATTAGAAGCATTGTACAAGCTATTTTGACTTATAATCACTCAAACATATTTTTAAAAGAGGCAGAAGACCTATTTTCAAGAATTGTTGATTTGCATCAAGCTGGAAAGGGTTACTAAGTTATTTATCAATCCCTATTTAGACTAATTTTCTATAAAAGGAGCCAATCTGTGGCTGGGCGCCCTTTATAGGGAATAAGTGGGCGCCCAGCAAAGATGAACAAGAATAATCAATTAGATGAAATAGAACCCGAGAGTAACTGCTGAAGGCATGTCGTTATCATTGGATCTGGTTAGTATTTCAGGTCATCAGATTATAACACGCAAAACCGTGTACAGCCTAGGGACCATGGCATGACACTACAGAGGAAGCAGCTGCTCTCAGAATAACACCACTGTGCACCTGAAGCTTGCCAAAGAGCACTTTAACATCACTGGGAGAATGTTTTGTAGTCCGATTAAACTAATGTTGAATTAAAGGGGAAGAACACTCAGCACTACGAGTGGCAGAAAAAAATGGGGGCCAGGACAGTTTGCCATCATTAAAAGAAAAATGAATTCCCAAGTTTATTAAAATATCCTACAGGATAATGTCAGAGTGTCTGTCCGCCAGCTAAAGCTCAGCCGGGGTTTAGTGATGCAGAATATTGAAGTAAATGTAATACAGAATCTCTGAGTACATAGAAAATCTGCCCTTTAGAGTGGTTCAGTCCAAGCCTAGACCTTATCCAAAGAAAAATACTGTGGAATGACCTCAAGAGAGCCACACCAGACATCCTGAGAATATGGCTGAGCTGAAGCAGTTCTGTGAGGAAGGATGGTCCAAAATCTCTCCTGAGCGTTGTGCAGGTTTGATGTGGAGCTACCGAAGCGCCTGTTTGAGGTTATCACTGCAGAAGGAGGTTCAACATGTTATTAAACCCAAGGGTTCACTTACTTTATCCACGAGTGCTCAAATGTTTAATACGCGTGTTCAATAAAGACATGAAAGACAATAAATGTTTGTGTGTCATTAGCTTAAGCACATTGTGTTTGTCTATACTTGTGACTTAGAGGAAGATCAGATCACATGTTTCATGCATAAAACCAGGACATTCCACAGCCTCAGTGTCTGTGCCACGGGCCGGGGAACGGGGTCACCACACCCCATGATGAGAAACTGTCAGAAATGATCGGGGATCCCTCATAAGCAGTGGGTCCCCTCCCCCCCGGAGCGGAGAAGCGAAACTGAAATTATTAAGCAGCTTATGATGGCGCGCTATGCATGGGGCCCCCTTGAGGGGGTTTCCCGACATGTCATTGCAGTAAATTAAAGGGGGTTTCATGTTGTCGTTGCTGTTGACCTTTTTAATCAACCTTCTTTGGGGGCCCCAAGCAGTTGCCTGCCTTGCCTGTCGGCAAACGGCGCCCCTGCTCATGAGTGGAGTCATGGGGACAGGAGTGCCAGACTCACAAGATAACTCTCAGATAACGTAATTGCTCTTCCCTTTTTAGTTTGTGTTCCAGCTGTCAATCAGCTGTCTGCACTGCACCCTGTGTGTCTCAACCCCCCGCAGCAACTCTATCCACCAGTTAAAGAAAATCAAACAGATGTGTGACATGTCTTAAACACTCCACCATCATTCCTGTCCCCAAAAAGACAATCATCACCTGCCCCAACGACTACCGCCCAGTAGCACTCACCTCCATCATAATGAAGTGCTTTGAGCGGTTAGTCAAATTATTCATCACCTCCTCCCTCCCTGAATCTCTGGACCCCCTGCAGTTTGCCTACAGAGCAAACAGGTCCACAGACGACGCCATAGCCCTCACCCTCCACACTGCCCTCTCACACCTGGACCCGAAGAACAGGAACACATATGTGAGAATGCTGTTCATTGACTACAGTTCAGCATTCAATACCATTGTGCCCTCCAAGCTGGCCATCAAGCTCAGAGACCTCGGGCTCAACAGCGCCCTCTGTGACTGGATCCTGAACTTCCTGACGGGCAGACCCCAGGCAGTGCGGGTGGGAAATATCACATCCTCCACCCTGATTCTCAACACCGGTGCCCCTCAAGGCTGCGTGCTCAGCCCTCTCCTCTACTCCCTGTTCACCCACGACTGCGTGGCCACACACAGCTCCAACACCATCGTGAAGTTTGCTGATGACACGACCGTCATCGGCCAGATCACAGACGATGACGAGACGGCGTACAGAGAGGAGGTCGAAAACCTGACATCTTGGTGCCAGGAGAACAACCTCCATCTCAACATCAGCAAAACAAAGGAGCTGATTGTGGACTACAGGAAGCAGCAGGGAGAGGGACACGCCCCCATCGCCATCAATGGGACTACGGTGGAGAGAGTCAAAAGCTTCAGGTTCCTTGGGGTCCACATCACTGAGGACCTGACATGGTCTCTTCACACCACCACCATCACCAAGAAAGCTCGACAGCGGCTCTTCTTCCTCCGCAGGTTGAGGAGGTTCAAAATGGATTCCAGGATACTCTGCAACTTCTACAGGTGCACGATAGAGAGTATCCTCACTGGCAGCATGACGGCCTGGTACGGCAGCTGCACCGACCTCGATCGTAAGGCTTTACAGAGGGTGGTGAAAACTGCACAGCACATCACCAGGACGGAGCTGCCATCCATGGAGGACCTTTACTCCCAGCGGCTCAGGAAGAAATCACTACGGATTATCAAAGACCCCCATCACCCCAGCCACAAACTGTTCTTTCTGTTGCCGTCTGGCAGACGTTACCGCAGCATCCTGGCAAGGACAAGAAGATTCAGAGACAGTTTCTTCCCGCGGGCAGTGAGACTGTTAACAAATTGAACTGTTGAAACAACTTCAAACATTCAACTGCTACTCAGTAGTATGTATCTAATACCTAATATATATATATCATTCCAATAACTTGTATATAGACTCATACTGCACTATTCCACATCATAACTTTATTTCATTTTTATAACTATTATTATTTTTGTATTGCTCATGCTCTTATTGTTATTATGTTATGTTATTATGTTGCATTGTTGGAGAAGCCTGTGACATAAGATTTTCAACTGCATAATTACTCTGTAGCTATGTCAGATTGACAATAAAGAACCTTGAACCTTGAACCTTGAACCTTGAACATCAGCTGTACAATTGACCAAATACATGGTGTTCTTTCCTTCTATACCTCTTGTGTTTTAACAAGCAACGAATCAAGTATTGTTGAACAGCATTATAATCATTAACTTTATTTGTAAAGGACCGTTCAAAAAGATTCTAAAATGCTTAACAATACGAACACATTTGTAAAATAAATGCATGCACTTGTGTCTATATTCGTACATTTTACAACATGCAAGCAATGTAGCCAGTAATAATAGAGAACATATTTGACGAGGTGTTTGAAATAACTTATCCGTATTTATTTATTTCTCCAAATTATATTTGTGTGGCATTTGGTTCTTCATTGTAAGATTGGCTTTCATACATTTTTTCCAATTAACTCTTCATATATGATGCAGAAGATGTCATATTTCCACTATTGGTTGTATTTTTGTATGTTTCTATGCTTTCATCCTTCTGCCAATGGTGTGGCAGTTTCTCATCTCTCCTGTTTTTGTGCGAACGCATGGGTCAAAGTGTCCGTGGAGGACTGCACATTCTCCCTTCAAGTTTGCTTTTTATAAATCGGAAACATTCCTTCGAAATTGGCGTACGTCATCTTTTGAGCGAACGCCACTTTTATAAATGAGGCCCCAGGTCACGTAAGCTTCTGAGTTCTTGGTATCACTTTGCCAGGCATGACCTTGCTGTGTTATTTGTTTCTGATATTGCACTACTGAGTCCTTTGCATTGTATCACTGCGCTGAAATACAATGATACAATGCCCCTCCCCCCCATTGTATCTACCAGGTTGATGGTGACGGGCTACAGGCGCCCCCTGGAAGAGAAGGACCTGTGGTCTTTGAACTTGGAGGACCGCTCCCACAGAGTTGTTCCACAGCTGGTGCGCCGCTGGAACACAGAGTGCCAAAAGGTTAAAACGTCAGTAGTAAAGTATAGATGGGCCACAGCAAGAAAATACACAGAAATGCTCCAAATGTTTTCCCTGGTAAAACTACACCTGCTAGATATCCACCAGATGTGTTGTACATAGGAACAGAGAGAATAGACTCTCCTCTGGTACATACTGCAGGTGCTGATGAGAACACTTTTCAGGCCAAATATCCTTTAGCTGTAAGAGAGACGGAGCAGGGAGCCCCTACAACATACTGTATGTACACATTTATTAACCGTTGGGGTTGGTGCCACACAGTGATTTACATAGGCTAGCTAGGTCATCGAACAAGGATTTATGGGTAACAGTTACCATCAATGTTTTGTGAATTAAATGGCTTCCTTTTGACAATTGGACCAGGTGAAGTGGTACGATATGGAGGATTAGACACACTCTCAAACAAATAGGAAAATAGCTGCATCTTTCTAAATAAGTTATCTTCTAAATATGTGCAAATAAACCCAACAGTCTAGTTGCCAGCTCTTCCTGTTGTGACTGTAGAAACTGCCGGATGCTAACCTGCATATGATGGGCAATTTGCACAATTGGCATAGATTGCGTTAATTAGAATTTACCAATATAGCCAATGGGGACAATAGTTTAAAAAAATGTGAGGTTATTGGGGATGCCGAGTCCATTTCTGACATTTTCAGGATAAAAAAAATGGCAGTTTTAACCGGAAAATGTACATATTTGTACTCCCAGTGGACTGATTTTGATTATGACGATTTAGGGGACTCTGGATCATTTGGATTGGACAGCATCCTCAATATCCCCAAAAACACTCAAAAACTATCAATCTGCTATAATGCCATTAATGCAATTTATGCTAATTGTGCAACTCTCCCAGCATAGACAAGTTAGCATCTGGCAGTTTCTATGTGCTGGGGACACTTGCATTTCCAACATGAAACTTTGGTGTACTCAACATTTCCAGGTTCACTAAACTGGCAACTAGACTAAAAGGAAGCCGATACCGTAAGATTAAGGTAAACAACATCAGCAGCGTGAAGAAGAGTGAGGTATTTACTGACTCTTGCTGTGATATATGGAGGACGGAACATGACTTAAGTATAAATAAATAAATAAATGTGTAAATAAATGTATGAAGAAATACAGGAATAAATACGTAAATAAATGAATAAATACAGGAATAAATAAATGACGAAATAAATACAGAAATAAATAAATGTTGAAATAAATACACAAATAAATAAAAGAATAAATAAAAAAATAAATGCATAAATAAATATGGAAATAAATACACCAATGTATAAATAAATAAAACAGAACACACGTTATTATATATCTTTCATATATTTCTACATTGTCCGTATGTTAATGAGGTGGGCGGTCCTAACCTCAGTCTGAAGCAGGATTGGTTACAGGAGTGTGTGATAATTTCTGGCAGAGGGCTATACTAACGCCTGGCTAACCGCGCTGATTCGAATGCAGGAGCTTTACTGTTTAGCCCTTATCTTTATACATCCATGGTTTATCCACAGTTGTAAGGATTATTTATGGGTATTGGTTTAAGAGCCATTGGAGATCATTAGCGGACCATTTAGAGAACGGAGAACCAAAAGACTATGTCCTCTCTATGTCCAGTTTCGTGTGGAACGATGTATAGAGGACTTGGCTCAGCTCGACATGGATGTGGATGTTAACCCAGCTGTGTTTGAGAGTCTTCAAGAGGTTGCCCGCCAACTTGAAATCCTCTCGGAAACAGAGGAGGCGACCCTTGGGCGTCCATCTTACATGTTGCCCCCACACGTTATTGAAGCACATCTTTGTTGGGGGCACACCGCTGGGGACATCGCGAACGGGTGTGCGAAAGAACAATTATTAAAGAAGCCATTATTAGCGAGTTGCCTTGGGTGTACACTGTACACAGAATGAACAGATGTGACTTGCCACAAATCTCTTGCTTCTGCCTGGCTCCAACAATTGGCGAATCCTGCTTCAGACTGAGGTTAGGACCGCCCACCTCATTAGCATACGGACACATAAATAAATAAATGTACGTCGCGTAAATGTAGAAATATATGAAAGATATATAATAACGTGTGTTCTGTTTTATTTTCGACTTTTATTTATTTATTTATACATTGGTGTATTTATTCCCATATTTATTTATGCATTTATTTATTTGTTTATTATTTTATTTATTTATTTGTGTATTTATTTCAACATTTATTTATTTCTGTATTTATTTCGTCATTTATTTATTCCTGTATTTATTTATTTACGTATTTATTTATTTATTCCTGTATTTCTTCATACATTTATTTACACATTTATTTATTTATTTATACTTAAGTCATGTTCCGTCCTCCATAGTGATAGACAATGTTTGCTAAACTAAAAGCTGATTTTAAACACTGATATTTAGTCAGAAAAGCCACACACAAAAAATGGTATTTGAGCAACTGGAACAGAAAGTGACGACGCAGAATAAAACTGTCAAAAAACTTGGCAGCAGACTAAGAAGATGAACCTAGGATAAGCAATACAAAGGAACGCAATGCTGTCACAGAGTAACTGCTTTCATTCATTCTCCAAAGTAATCAGTATTTACAAGAGAAAATTGTAAGATTTGGAAAATCTATAGAGACTTAAAAATCGGAGTTCATGTAGTAGCCCGAAGACGCTAAGAATGGTGACATGCTCAAGTTTAATGATCAGTTTATTAAATAACTTAAATAACACTTTTAAGTTCATTTATCCTCTGAGCTCAATCTGGGGAAAGAAAGAGCCCAAAGGGCACTTCAGAAGAAACCAACGAACCTATGGACCCCCAAGATGTATTGTGGTGAAATTCTCAATCTTTAAAATGAAAGGAAATGGGGGGGCTAGGGAAAAAGAAGAAAACTGTGTTCACCAAAACTTTAGTTAATCAAATGCAGCCCATCGGGAGTACAAATATGGACACTCTGGTCAGGAATGGACTCAGCGTCCTCAATAACCTCCAAAAACCATTTCAAAACTGTCCAGTGTCCAAAACCCTTTTTCTTTCTTCTTTTTGTCTGATTTGTCGATTATCTAATCATTTAATTATTGAAGTGTTAATTTGATTATTTATGCCTTGTAACCAATGAATTTATTAAAATTTTACATAGAGCCAATTTATCCTAGAAGTTGACATGGTGCATCCATGTTACTGTATGTGTGGTCCCCCTAGGGGTAATGGTTGCCCATTGAAGATCCATGGATTAGATGTTTTGTAAAGTAACTTTGATCCCAACCACCCTGTCATTACTACAACTAGAACTCATCATGATCACTTTTTATTTATTTTAAAACCTCATCTTGCACAGCTACATCAAGTCCATTGACTTGATCACACAAATATATACAAATAATGTATACACAAATTACACCAATCATATCTGACTCCATCAACAAAGCATTTCTTTTAATATTAAATTAAATCTGCCTTTCTTTCCATTTGATCTTTTCAGGACAGAGCAGAACACATTTTACTCACCCAAGCGGGTCACAAACACTGAAGTCAAAGAGGACCGAGCTGTGGAGGAGTCTGAAATCTTGATTGTGAAGCCCCAGAAAACAAAGGAGCCCTCCCTGTTCTGGGCACTGTGCCTGACCTTTGGGCCCTACTTCCTTATCTCCTGCCTTTATAAGATCATTCAAGACGTCCTCATGTTCGTTGGGCCTGAGATACTCCGGTGAGAAACATTTGTTTTTTCTTAAAAGTATAGAATCTTTAACATGGGGTACTTTTCTTTTAGCATCATCTGATTCACACAGAGTACAAATGAATGTCTCTGGGTACATGTACCTTTTTAATAATAATAATAACACGTTTATTTAGTATAGCATCTTTCACAGAAATACAATTCCCAAAGTAAAAGTAAAAAATAAGACCACAGACATAAGAATACAATAAATACATGTGCCAAAATGTAAGGTTAACATAAAAACAAAACACAGACAACGAAGAGTCCCAAATGGAACAAACAAAAGAACATAACACATAACACACATCAAAGATGGGTCTTCAGTTGTTTTTGAAAAGCTTCTGCAGAGGCTGCAGACCGAATGTTCCATAGTGTTGGAGCCTCTACTTGAATGGCAGGGTCCCCTTTAGTTTTTAAACGAGACCGTGGAACAGCCACTGGTCGGAAGACCTAAGGGACCTACTGGTGATGTAGGGATGGAAAATAATAATAATAATAAATTCAATTTATAAAGCACCTTTCATTGCTAGCAGCAATCCCAAGGTGCTACAGGAGGCATAATAAAAACAAACAAAATAAACAAAATAAACAAAAGTTTTAATCAAAAGCTTTTTTAAAAAGAAAGGTTTTTCGGGCTTTCTTGAAGGAGTCAGTGGTCTGTGGAGTCCTCAGGTGGTCTGGGAGGGAATTCCACAGGCGAGAAGCAGCTGCACAGAAAGCCCGATCCCCCATTGTGCGTAGTTTGGTCCTGGGGGGGCGAAGCAGATGGTTGGTTGTGGAGCGGAGGTTGCGTGTGGAGGTTTGAGATGTGAGAAGTTCCTTCAGGTATGGAGGAGCGTTCCCGTGGATGCATTGATGGGTCAGTAGTGCGATCTTGTAGTCGATCCTGAATGAGACAGGAAGCCAGTGGAGGGAATGAAGAACGGGTGTGATGTGGTTGTATTTTCTCACCCTCATCAGGATCCTAGCTGCACTGTTCTGTACATATTGGAGCTTCTGAAGGCTCCCGCTAAAAGGTCACATATATACTCTGGTGCATTTCCAAGCAGGGCTCTATATGTAATGACAAGAGCCTTAAAGTGAGTTCTAAAACGGATGGGGAGCCAATGTAATGATCTTAAAATTGGTGTAATGTGTGTCATCCTGCTGGACCTGGTTAACAGTCTTGTAGCAGCATTCTGGACCATTTGGACGGGTCAGAGATGACCTGCTGATACACTCGAAAATGGAGTTACAATAATCCAGCCGGGATGATATGACAGCATGAATAATAATTTCAAGCTCCGCTTTTGACGCAACAGACCTGGGGCCTCATTTATAAAGCCTTGCGTAGGATTGACGTGGGAAGGTTGCTTACGTAGGACAAAGCAAATAAATACGCACAGACATTTTCCGATTCATAAAAGACTGCGTACCGGCGCAGGACTTGCGTACGGCACATCCTACGCCGGTTTCCCTTTTATAAATCACAATCAACTCGAAATGCGGCGCAGCTTTTGCGGGCTTCACGTAATGCCCATAAATAGTCAAATAAACGCCCATTCATTCATTAATTTTTGACTGACTGCATGAAGAAGATCGCAGGAAATGACGATAGAACAGCTAAAAAAGACATCTCACACCGTGTCAGATTTTGGTTATTTTCGGGAGGTCGAGATAAATCATATTGTTTGGTGGATGCAGTTTGAACCAGAGTAGCAGCATGGAGGTCGGATCGTCACCAAAATAAATAAATAAGTGGTCAGAAAAAGGTTAATGACAAAGAAAATACACATAGCCTAACCTTCCTCAGGCAGTGTGTTTGTACCGGGGACAGGAGACACCCCCTTGATGAGAAACTGTAAGAAATGATCGGGGAATCCCTCCGGAGTGGAGTCATGACGACTGGATCTGAATTATTTGTTTGTATTTGGTGTTTTGTGTTCCAGCTGTCGATCAGCAACTATATATCCATAATCCACCAGTTAAAGGAAATACAACTAATGTGTTGTGTTATATTAGCTGTACAATTTACCACATATGGTGTTCTTAGTTTCCATACCTCCTGTGTTTTACGAGCGACTTATCAAGTAGGCTATTGGCGAACGGCATAAAACATGATTAAACATGATAGTATATAAAACCATGCTCGTATCTATACAACCTATAGAAATGCAAAACGGCGTCAGTTTAAAGTAATTCTGTCCTTCTGCTTACCGCATCATTTATGAGAATACATTTCTTAACAAGAGAACATAATCGAGGGGTGATCAATAACATTTCCGTATTTATTTATTTCTCCAAGTTATGTTTTTGTGTGCACTGAGGAGTCTCAAACAGGCGGTTGTTAAATCATTTTAAGATTGGCTTTAATCAATTTGTGAAAATGAATTCTTCATATGATAAATGAGAGGTAACATTCTATTTATGGTATTAATGTGTCGTAAAACTGTCAAGTAACACATTTGTTTGTGTGAAAAGCTCAATGAACTACATCTCTGGTCTCACAGAACAACACACGTCACCAAGATGGCCGTCACTACTGTCTTGTCAACAAAACGATTGACTACCCTCACTATCACCACAATGAAACACGTCCTGAAGAATGTCATGTAAAGCTGCCTGCCTGCCTTCCTTTGATTCTCTCTGAACTGCCTGGTCTTTTTAATGTTTAATGTCAACCATTTGTGCAGATAGCATGAAGTAGAGAAGATCGCCGATGCTAGCGTTAGCGTTAGCATTTCTCCCCCGGGCTTAAATTGTGTATTATAGAATGATCACACCAGTGACAGTACTATTCAAAGGGTTCACGAAATATGACTACTACTCTTACTGTTTAACATTTTGGGTTACTTCATGTTACTTCATGTTAAGGCTAATAAAAATGACAAGGCTGTAATGCTAACTAACGTGCTAGCTACTAGCTAGCTTGATCCAGACACTCCTGGTCCTTTCATCAGACGGGAAGCGAAAGAACGAGCAAGACCCATTGCTGGTATGATAACAACCTGGTACTAAGCACACAGGCATATTGTTAAAGTTATCTGATCTTAGCTATCTCTTAGTGGAGGAAAACAATTGTGACATCACTTACGCGACTCTGGGATTTGTAGTCTTTCTAGTTGCGTATTTTTCATAGTCTTATATTTCAACAGTTTTACGACAAACTGTGACTTTTTTGACATGGAAATGATTTTTTAAGATTGACAAACATCATATGTGTAATTCGTGACACAATTCAAACGGGATCAGAAGATAAGTTTTCTCTCCCCATTGACTTCAATGTATAGTTTTTCCGAAATAAGGTCCCATGGAGGCTCCCGGAAGGGGAGGGACTTCGCCTCTCTATGGGTACCACCCTCAATCATGCTATGCGAGCATTCACCTACTGAGATATCTATAAACGTAGCCGGCCCCTCGGGGCGGGCCTACCTGAATGCGCGTGCAAGCCCACCATATATAAGGCGGCCACGCCTCCTGACTGTCATCCTTTTCTCTTCAGCGAGCGAGCAACAACTGAAGCAGAGAAAGTAAAACGTTTGAAAGAAGAAGAAAGAGTTAGCATACCTTCATGGAGTCGCCACTTCTAGAGACCCGGGCCTGTCCGCTTAATAGCGGGCGCCGATCCCCACCACCTCTGCTTCGAGTGTTTGGGGGACCAGGATATGGCCGAGGCAGTGCCATTCACGCTCGCCATTCCAGCAGGGCGGATGGCTCCGTTAGCCGGAGAGGAGGATGACGAGGACTTCTCGTTGTCGGGCACTTCCGGGTCTGGCGTCCATGGATGTCCACCGCCCAGGTCTGTACTTGCCCCTGGTGATGATCATGGCGGCGGAGCGTGGCAGCCCATCTGCTCCCAGCAGGCAGCAGGCTGGGCAGAGAGCCTCTGCCCCGCTGCCGCGTGACAGGGCGGCTGCAAATAAACACGGGTGTGTTGGGCGACTCGCTCATTGCTCTTCCGCAAGATGCCCCTACCTCACCGGATCAGAGCGATTATTTGGCCGCAGCATCGGCCAAATTAATAGCTTGGTCTACGGTGTGGCCGCCGCTGCTTGCCGTGTGATGTCCCTGGGGGATCACGCCGCATGGCACTTTCCAAAAAGACCGTGATGATCTCCTGGGAGCCCCCGTGTCTACGGAAGGGCTCTTTGGATCGATTTCCTTGGTCACGTGGATGAGGAGTAGTCGCAGTTTGGCGTATGCTGCTTCTTGCTCATCCTCAGAGGACAGAACACTGTCCCATACTCGCCGCCCCGCTGTAACTCCAGTAAAGGAAGCAGCAGGTGGGCGTGCGCACGTGAGTGGAATAAACCGCAGAAAGTGCTGTCAAAGCACTGTGTGGGTTCAAGAGACGCTATTGCCAGCGTGCTGTTGTCAGAAAACACACCTTGCCTGGTATTATAGCGCCGATTAATGCATTTCACCGTTGAATGTGAAACACAGCGTAAATACGAAGGCAAGCGCCCCCCCGTGAGAGTGGCCGCGGTGCCTTCAGGGACCTCCGCAGAAGAACGGTGGGTTACGTATTGTAACCCTAGTTCTAGAGTGATGTATGTGTGAAAAATGCATTCTGTAAAAACGATTGCATTTATCTCAGAGTAAGAGTCATCTCTCTACACAATTCCACATTTCCCCATAATGTCCGTTTCAAAGAGACGGTATTGTGACGGAGCCGCGGCCCCACGAGAGCGTGCCGCGGTGCGTTCAAGGACCTCAGTAGAAAATCGTCCCTTTCTGTGTCAGCCCCCCTTGGGCCAAACTTCCTTTTATGGAAGGTTTGGTAGCGGAGTAGGCCACCAGAGAGTGCTACAGCTTCTTGGCTGCGGCTCCACAGCTGCTTGCATGTCCCCTAAACACAGTTTTATGGGGAATGGAAGCTCAGCTGTGTACTGACAGAGTGGATGGACAGGACACTGGGGGTGTTTCTCAATCACGAGTACGCTTGCTTGGTAGCACATGTCTGCCGAGCATCTTGCTTCAGAAGCGAGGCAAGAATACTTCCTGACATTTGGAAAACAAAGAGTGGAACAGGCTAGCAAGTGTGCAGGTGTGCGTCATATGAGAGGCCCCGCCTCTTACATCTTCCGCCACAGATTTGGGGAAATTGGTCCGTGCGCAAAGCATTGTGGGGATATTAAGACCGCATAGTCTACTCATGTGCAGCCTCGATATTTCTCCAAACGGAGTACGCCAGGCTCGGTAGATTTCCAAGTATGCTGGAGATTGGAACAGTACTTCGGCGGCACTCGATGACGTAGTATGCTTGAAATAGTGGCTCTGAAGCAGCTTTACTCGCGATTGAGAAACACCCTGAGACTGGGTTACTCACTCCTGTTTTGCAGCATCCCTCCTCCATTCAGGGGCATAAGAGAGGCAAATCTATCATCCTAGGAGGAGATTTCAACAGAGATTCAGGCCCTGTTGCAAGAACGGTGGGTTACGTATTGTAACCCTTGTTCTAGAGTGATGTGTGTGTGAAAAATGCATTCAATAAAAACGATTGCATTCATCCCAGAGTAAGTCATATCTCTCTCCACAATTCCACATTTCCCCATAACCGTATATAAGGCGGCCACGCCTCCTGACTGTCATCCTACACCCTCTTCAGCAAGTGGCATAGGACAGACAGGGCCCCAGGTAGAGGGCGGAGCCTGTGCTTATATAACTAGGGTTACAATACGTAACCCCCCGTTATATCTTACACAGGCTCCGCCCTCTACTGGACTCTATGGGTACAGTGGGTGGAGCCCTGATGGATAAACGCCCTGTCGTCCAACAACATCGACCCATCACACTGCCCCTGACCGGCTTTTGGTTAACAGCCACTGCACCGCAACTTCTTCTCCGGTTGAGACCGTGGAGAAGTCGGGGCCGCAGCTTACTTGGCTGGGTAGAGCACACTCACACACGCTTACCTCGTGTAGAGTGTGCATGGAAAATAGTGAGGCAGTTCGACAACCCCCAGTTTGTACAGAATATCAGTATGGTAATACGACACCCTCTGTCCTTAGACCCTCACATCGTACAAGGAAACACTTCCAGAGAAAAACCCACAGTTTAAAGGGGAAAATGGGAGAAACCTCAGGGAGAGCAACAGAGGAGGGACCCCTCTCCCAGGACGGACAGACAATAGATGCAATAGATGCCGTGTGTAAAAGATAATACATTTACAACATAGGTAGTCCAAATGTTTGGAAATGCATGTGTCTATAATAATAAGATGAATCCACGAGGATATCCATCCAGGACTTATGATCCAGGACCACAGCAGCAGGCACAGCCACGACTCAAGATCCAGGGCTCGCGATCCAGGACTCAGGACCACAGCAACAGGATCAGCCATGACTCAGGATCCCGGCGTAGATGGACACCAAAAAGAAATTTGGGGAAGCTGGGTTATTCGGAACATGAGAGTACACAGGTACAGACAGAGAGAAGGAAGAAGTAAGGTGTCCCCCGACAAACTAAGCCGATAGCAGCAAAACTAGGGGCTGAATCTAATCAGCCCTAACTATAAGCTTTATCAAAAAGGAAGGTCTGAAGCGCACTCTTAAAAACGGATAGGGTGTCTGCCGCCCGAACACAAACTGGAAGCTGATTCCACAAATGTGGAGCTTGATAAGAAAAGGCTCTGGCTCCCATTGCAAGAGGCGGGCTTCCATAGGAGAAGAGAGGGAGGATACATGAGTGCAGACTACGCGGAAGTGTTGTCACTACTCGCGCATCAAAGCTCCACCCCCAGCTGCACAGCCGTCTGCTCACTGCAGCTGTTCTGAATCGAAGCTCCGCCCCCAGCTACACAGCCGTCTGCTCACTGCAGCTGTTCTGAATCGAAGCTCCACCCCCAGCTGCACAGCCGTATGCTTACTGCAGCTGTTCTGAATCGAAGCTCCGCCCCCAGCTGCACAGCTTCTGCTCCCTGCAGCTGTTCTGAATTAAAGCTCCGCCCCCAGCTGCACAGCCGTCTTTAAAGTGCTTCAATACGAGTAAAATATATAAATCTCTTAAACGATTAATGAGATCATACTCTATAAAGACATTAAAGTGCGTTAAATATACTTCCAAATTCAATAATAATGTTTTGATTATAAAATAATAACTTTTTTTTATGCAAGTGTGAATAAAACCCATAGAAGGTCAAACATTGTAAATGTAAAATAAATACTGGTAAGATATCCAACAGATCTTTTAGTGATTTGTGTGTCTCTTCTGTAGGAGAAATTAAATAACAACATCCAATACGAAAGTTTAACTTAAATGACATTTTAACCCTGGAAAAACAAATACAGGACCGAAAATAATAAATTGAAAACTATAATAAAAGAGATGGATAGAAGAGATGGACGAAATCCTTTCAATGTGAAACTAAATCCCAGGTTTGAAGGGATTTATGTGGAGTGAAGTCCAGTGACAGGTGGTAGACTTTGCAGCATCGTTTATGACAGTGGTTCTCAAAGTGGGGGACGTCAGAGGCATGACAGCAAGAGACCAGGAGGGAAAATGGTTATTACAAAAAAAGAAAAAGAAGATTAAACAAAAATCATAATTTGAAAAATTATTGATTCAAACATTTCGAAGCTTCAAAAGTAGAACATTGCTCTACTTTTGCAGCGAGCACCGCGAGAAAGGCTACGCTTTGCTACCACAATGCAGTTTGGCGAAGCGTGACGTCACCCCATTCAAAGTGAATGGACAGAAGCGTTGAAGAGTCAACGCACGCCGCCGTGTGTAGGGGCCGTTAATGTAAACAATTCTTTCTGAGGCACACGTTTATATGATCATTATAGTTATAAAAAAATAAGAGAATAAATGAAAAACAGGTATGAAATACTATATGACAGTAAAAAAAGAATAAAGTTTAAAAGGGTGATTTGTAAAATATCCATAAAGAAAAAGTAAATCTGTTTACAGTTCTGTTTCATATGGGTGTTGAGAGAGGTATCCATAGATCTCTTCATTTTGCTCTCAAAGTACACCAGATTGATGCTTTTAACTTCAATATTTAAAAATAAATATTCCCGGGGGAGCTTGCACTTTACCCCTGCTTACACCTATATGCCGTGAGCTGATTATCGAGCCTTCATTGTAACAGTCGCGGGTACATTGTGTATATGCGTGGGGAGTGTTGCAGTAGAAAATTCCACTGTAGCGCCCGGTACATTAATGGGAAACCCTAAATGTTTAAGCACCCTCTATGAAACGTCAAGCTACCCCACAGCACCCCCAAAATAAATCTCTGGCGCCACAATTGAGCCTGACTATTTGTGTTGGGGGGGGCCCGACTTTTTTTTTTCTCCAAAGGGGGGGCCTGACAGAAAAAGTTTGAGAACCACTGGTTTAGGGAGACGCTGGAGAGAATGCGGACATCCCAACTCATACCCGAGGACTCCTCTGTCATCGTGTCTCTCGCTTGCATCTTACGGAGGCGGAGCTAAGACGCAAGGAAGAGGCGCGAGTGAGGGAAAGGAGGAGGCCAGATAGTCAATTGGATGAACCTATTATATGTGTTAGGTATAATGTTTTTTAACGCACGTTGTCTGATTATATAATCATATGCGCCGACCTGCTCTCCAGATAAACAGCAGCATGAAAATAACCTGCTCCATGGTAGGGGCTACAGTAGGAATTGCCGGGATTTACGTTTTTTCTTGTGACTTTTTTTTTGTTACAGTTTATAGAGCGTTTGAGGTCTGCCTGTGTGAGGCAAACCGAACCTTCTGAAAAATGAAGCAATGTAACAAACTGTCGTCTGGTGCGCACCAGAGAAGTGTTAGCTGTGAATGTGATCTTAGTCTTATGTTAAGAGGAACATATCGAAATATTTAAGGACATCAAAACCTCAATTCCAGCGCCACCTTTTCAAACTGAATTATGGACAGCTCCATAGATGAGAAGATAACATGGTTTAAGCCTGACCTGAAGCCGTCCTACGTTCAATGCAAACAGGAACCTGTCATACTATGTTCTGGAGATCCCCCAAGCTATCTATTTTCGATATTCTTTCAGTTTTCAATGTTTAATTATTTTTAATTGGAAGGAGAGCTGCCTTCTGCCACTCCCCTAGTCGATTAGAGAGAAGACACAGATGCTAGACGTTAGAAAAATTATACTCATGAAGATGTACTTAAACGTGGCAACCTTACATCTCAATTGTGGAAGATTTAAAAATATTTCTCTTCATCTTTGATATTTGTAGGTGCGATTTATTAGCTTAATCGGCTTACTTAATGTAAACTTATACCTAATGATGACTTTCTTCCCTCGATCCCGTGCAGGCTGTTGATCCGCTTCGTCAACGACTCCAGCGCCCCCGTCTGGCGGGGCTTCTTCTATACGGCCCTGCTCTTCATGTGTACCTGTGTGCAGTCCATCATCCTCCAGAAGTACTTTCACGTGTGTTTTGTCTCAGGCATGCGTCTGCGCACTGCTATCATCGGAGCCGTCTACAGGAAGGTACAAGGAAATGGAATGTTATTTTGAATTATGGAAATATGACAGAGGTAGAGAATATAGGTTATTGCTTGATATAATACTTAATTTAATATTTTGAGTACAAACTTCCAAGTGAATGACTATTTACAATAACATAATTTTCCTTTTGGAATCAGTCAGAAAGCCTTTACTCAACCAGAGAGCTGTGTTTGTGGAACCGTGTTGATGTAAATCAGATTTCATAAATGGCTGTATAATTCTCCTGTTCAGGTGTGTGCAGGTTTGGGTTGTGACTCTACAACGGGGCTCTAACTCGCCCCTGTGTCTGCGCTTTCAGGCTTTAGTTATCAGCAGTGCAGCGCGCCGCAGCTCCACGGTGGGAGAGATCGTCAACCTGATGTCAGTGGATGCTCAGCGCTTCATGGACCTAATCACTTACATCAACATGATATGGTCCGCCCCTCTGCAGGTGGTGCTGGCCCTCTACTTCCTCTGGCAGGTAGGACTACACACAGGTACAAGTCACATAAATAACATCAGCTCCATTCAGAAGAAGTCTCACATGCACATTTTGGACTGCCAAGATAAACACTTAAGACAAATAATGGACAGGATATTTCTTTGGTGTGTTCTTATGCAGCCAGGCATATATCGTACATCTAGTTGAAAAGTACAGCGAGGGCTGCTTTGTTAACGTTTTGTAGGATGCGCTAATGAACCCCCTTGCCATACTCAAATACAATAACATTCATCAGATAACTATGTTTAGCACTGTGAGAGTGTGCCAAGTTTTGTGCACTTTCAGTCAACCCTAAACACCAAGTTCCTGTTTCATGTCAAAAGATGTTACCAAGTGAACGGTATTCCACGAAAACGTGAAATCTTCGCAGTCTGTCAAAGTGAAGGTCTTGATCTGGTTAACCTGCTGAGAACAGTATGACAAAGGATAGGATCAGTGTTTAAAGGTCCCCTATTATACGGTTTTGTATCAATATATTATAGGTCTCAGATATATACAAAACATATCTCTGAAGTGTTTGGCTCGAAATACCAAACAGATCATTGCAGCATCCCATAAACTCCTCTGTTTGAGCCCTGTTTCAAAAGTGCTGATTCTCCCCACGCCCCTCTAAGAGATATTTGGTCAAAAAGAACACAATGGTGCTCTAGGAGGAGATTCAGGTGATAAGGAGGGGGGGGTTACCTTGGTTGGTGATTGGCTAATGGTTACACAAGCCAAAACATCGTTATGACATCATAAAGTGGCCAAAATCTGATCAGCTCATTTTCAGACAGGTTTTTATAGAAATGGATCAGGACAAAAAGAGAGAGAATCTTTTTTCCTGAAACTTTCAGAATCTCTTTACACAGAGGAGACACATGTTGATGTATAAAAAGTGGATTTTGCATAATAGGTGACCTTTACAATGTGCTGCTGTGCAACAGTCCAGTCATTAAACAAAAACTCTCAACCCTAACTTTGAAGCATCATCCACTTCTTAAGGTTTATCCCAAAACAGATTTCAGATTGATCTGCATAATCTGCAAGCGGTCAGAGAGGTACAAAACCCGTAGAATCTGGCGCTATGACTATGAATCAATATTTGCATGTAGATGTCTTCATTTTGAGCTGACAATTTAGTTAATTTATATACAATCTGTAAGAGTTCATTAAAGTACTGCACTCAACTGTTCAAGAAATGTCTGACTTCCTTTTGTGTTTACGGTCTCACGCAAAAATATATTTTTGTCGTCTCCACATTAAATAATCCTACCACATTGCATACATGTAGGACCAATGCATTGCAAGTGCTATATATTGTAGGTGGCGCAGTTGAGCTCAATCATGCAATAGACTCATTATTTTAAAACACTTTTTTAAAATAATGAATTTGAACATGTGCCAAGTTAAATCAAAATGAAAGCAACTGCAGGCCCTGAAAAATGCAGAAAGTTTTGGCACGGTTCATGAGCATTAAAATGCCCCCTTCTGAAATGCTTCCACTGAACATTATTCTAATGTAAACTAGTGCTAATAGTGCTAACATCAGTGGAAATGCTTCCTTAATGAGTTTTTTTTTTAATCGGTTCCTGTGCAGAACCTGGGTCCGTCTGTGCTAGCTGGAGTGGCGGTGATGGTTCTGATGGTTCCTGTTAATGCTGTCATCGCCATGAAGACAAAAACCTACCAGGTGGGACTCTCCACAAACACAATGCACACAAATAATTTTGTAAAAATGTGTCATGTTATGTCATGTGTTCAGTGACAATGAAGACATATCCAATGTGATGTAACACACAGAGAGGTCCTCCAGGATCATTCGTGTCAGTTTGTAGCATTGAGGTTGTGTTTGTTGAACAGGTGGCTCAGATGAAAAGTAAAGACAGTCGCATTAAGCTCATGAATGAGATGCTCAATGGCATCAAGGTGCTGAAGCTGTATGCCTGGGAGCTGGCTTTCAAAGACAAGGTTTCAGAAATCCGGGAGAGTGAGCTGCGCGTCCTGAAGAAGGCTGCTTACCTTGGGGCCGTGTCCACGTTTACCTGGATCTGTGCACCTTTCCTGGTGAGTCTAACACGGAGTCAGACATCTAAACAGCTAGACATGGCCTCATCTTGTTAGCTAGTACAGACACAGAGTATTTGTATAATAATATTTGTATGGAAAATAACTTAACCTTTTACCATTTTCTGCAAATATAAACTCAGGTTGCCCTGTCCACTTTCACTGTGTACGTGCTGATTGACGAACATAACGTGCTCGATGCTCAGAAGGCGTTTGTGTCTCTGGCACTCTTCAACATCCTGCGGTTTCCTCTCAACATGCTTCCAATGGTCATCAGTAGTATGGTGCAGGTTTGTGTGCCTCCATTCACCTGGTCAATCACGCTCACACACTTTAATGGTGGTAGTGTTTTAATGGTACAGAGTTTGATGCATCAGGCCCCTGGTGTTTACTGGTAAAACCGTTTTTTTCTCCATCTACAGGCCAGTGTGTCCTTGAAGCGGCTGAGAGTGTTTCTGTCACATGAGGAGCTGCAGGAGGACAGTGTGGAGCACACATCAGTAGCAGGCTGTCAGTTTCTTCTGCTTCTTCTTATTATTATTTTCTCTCAATTTTTCTCTCAGTATTGCATTTCATGTACAGTATATTGATGCACCTCTTCTCTCTTCTATGCAGCCCCATACAGTATCTCCATAGTGGACGGAGTTTTCAGCTGGTCCAGAGCTGAGCCACCAACACTTAAGAGGCATGCGCCATCTTGCCACATATTTGTTCATTGTATTCACACATATGGGGAACATTTTTAACGACAGAAATGTCATGTTTAAAATACAGGCTTAGGTTCACTATTTAGTTTAATGTCCATCTTAAATCGAAACTCCTTCTGGAGGGAACTTGGGAAAACCCACAAGAAGCATAATAGGGCCACTTTACCTTACAAAATAGAGGCAACTGATGTATTCTACCGTTTTTTGCCATCCAGCATATCGCACAAAGAAGCAAAAGAAAATGATGAATGGTTTATGAACATTTCCAAACAGCACTTGTTGGATTAGCATGTCTTTTTTCCTATTAAGTATTTAACCTGATAATGAATGGAGTTGATCCTCTGTCTGCAGGCTGAATGTGTGTATCCCAGACGGCTCTCTGGTGGCCGTGGTGGGACACGTGGGTTCAGGGAAGTCCTCACTGCTTTCCGCCCTGCTTGGAGAGATGGACAAACTGGAAGGAGCTGTCGCTGTGAAGGTGGCTCTCTCACACTAAATACACATACAGCAGCAGTGTGCAGTTAGAGCTATCTTCCTGCTGCTCCGAGGGAAAAGCATTTTGGGTATTTTCATATGAGGGTCAAGAACATGAATACAGAATCTTCATACCTAATGCAGTATTTGATGTTGATTGTAGTTCTCCTCTTTTGACAAAAATGTAATGTCTAGTTTACCTCCATTTAATTATTTTCTAAAAGTTTTGCTCTTCATTGTGCAGTTTAGGTTATCTCTTCTAATAATTTTGAGGCTACAGCTGTTACCATCTGTGTACAGTTACCATAGTTAAGGCAGTATTGTTTTGAGACATGCTGGAGTTGCGCTAGGTATTTATCTTGTCCTTCATAATTTTGTTGAAACTTTTGGTCAGCTCACCGGATTCAAGTTGATTAAACTGGTTATATGAAATGAATGATCATACGAGTTTGTAATATGGGTGGCTACTGGCTAGGATCATTTTTTGATATTTTCTTTTGCCATGAAAGGGGATGACAGCACGGAGGACCCGGATTTAAACCTGGGTCCTCCGCTTAGGGACCAAGCCCCAGCATATGGGCAGTCCGCTCTGCCAACGGAGCTATACGATGGCCCGGCTAGGATAATTTTGTGTAAAAGAAGTTCCCATGATTGCACACCAATGGGCTTTGGGAACATTCAAACAAAGCGGTTCATCGTGAGTGCTCATTATCAACTACAGAATGCAATGAAATAATCAATGTGTATGCATATGCTTGTGCTTGTCGCCCTGTAGGGTTCAGTGGCCTACGTTCCCCAGCAAGCCTGGATCCAGAACTCCACTCTGAAAGACAACATCATGTTTGGACAGGAGAGGAGAGAGGCCTGGTATCAGCGTGTGGTGGAGGCATGTGCCCTTGAGCCTGACCTTGAGATCCTCCCTGCTGGAGACGAGACAGAAATTGGAGAGAAGGTATCAATTCTTGATCACAGAGTCCAGTAATCTGCGGACTGATACAAATGCATTGGATCTGTCAAAGTGGTCTGCATTCATTACACTGAGGTTTGATCAAGAGGTAGTGTGTGAGTGTTGACATTATATTATTACTTTCAAAGATTCAAAAGCTTTATTGTGCTATGCACAGTAATAGTAGTATTATAAAATTAAAATCTCAAGTCCCAGGCTCCTCCAACAAGGCAACATAAATATACATGAGACATCAAACAATAAAAAAACAATAAAATAGTGCAAGATTATCTTTCAAAACCACCTGCAAGTAATGCAGATGAAGTAATCTACACTGGGTGCACAATTATTAGGCAAGTGAGTATTTTGACCACATCATAATTTGTATGCATATTTTCCATCTCCAAGCTGTATGAACTTGAATGCGTATTGGAGTTTAGCATATTAGTTGATGTGTATTTGTGTAATGAGGGAGGGTGTGGCCTAAGGAGATCAACACCCTATATCAGGGGTGCCAAACCTTTTTTGAACCGAGAGCTACTTTTAAAGTTGCCAGTCTGCCGAGATCTACCAGTCCAAATAGAGAGGCGCAGCCATTACTGACAGCCGACTACCAGGTAAATACACACTTCTACTTGTATAAAACTGACCTTTGTACGATTAATACTTCATAAAATACTGCAGATCCTTTATCTTATCTCTTTCTAATCTACACACATACAAGTATTTAACTGAAGTTACACAACAGTGTTGTTGATACAGAGTTGGAGTTTATTCACACGTCACAAACTACAGTGGGTAATGTTTTCAAGAAACATTGAACAGTGCTGCCACATATGACACAGGAAAAAAAGAAAAGACTCTGAACCCTTTCTTTGCCATTATATAAAAATAGTGTTGCTACAAAAGTATAAATTAGGCTTACTAATAAGACAACTCAGATCTGAAGCTACACAGGAATCTGCTGACAAAGTGCAATAAAAAAGACAAAATTAATAGAATCAAACCCTTTTTTTGTTGCATTTTAGTAGAGTATAAAAAGAAATGCCTTTTAAAATAGGATGCAAGCAACACTAGTTTCTTAACCTGAATTGATAATAGACTATAATCAATTTAAACAGAACAGATCTTAATGTTTGCATTCTTATACCATTTTGTACAATAATTATAATTAATAAGTTCAAACAAACTAAAACTTACAGCTGATTAACCTGTTACGCACCGCCCCCCCGGTACCGGGCGGATAAACGCGTAATTTGCAGGAAACAACGTCTAAGGAATCTTAATATTTAATAAACTATGAATGTTTTATATCCATGTAACGGGAAGAAACTCAGCTAACTTTCAAAAAAAAAAAAAAAAAAAAAAACCCACAATGCTAACACTCAGCCTCTGAATTAGCCACGAGCAAAGAAAATGTAACCTATCTCTGCACCTAAACTCACTCATAACTCCCTTATTACTTATCCTAGATGCACAGCCAAACCATCGATTAGCATCTCCTGGAGACACAGAATCTGGGGGTGCCCACCTCAACACTCAGTGATAAACATTTGCGACGCTATAAACGAAAGCGTACATCAGAACATGTGGAGCTAGGTAGCTAGAAACGCTAACATGGCTTACCTTGGTCAAAACTGGTCTTCAATGGCATTAAAACGATAAAAAAACGATGCTGCAGTTAATCCATAGGTTAATCCAATGTGTTTGTGTCCTCTTTGAAATTATTTCTGATAATCCATAAGCAATAAAACTGCTTTTTCGTTTCCAAATGTCAGAGCGAGAGATCGCTTCACTCTGGTGCAAAACTACATGCGCAAAGCCCCCACCTTTTTGTTTTACAACGTGTGTGTGGGGGCCTCCCCCTTCGATTCTATTGGCTCTAACGGTCAGAAAGAGGTGTCAACCATCAAAATCGACCAAGGGGGACCAGAGATATGGAAAAAAAAACATTTTCACCCAAATCACCTCAGAGGTGGAGTGGTTTTGGCTAAACCTCTCTAAAAAGGTAAAATGTCACTTGTTTTGCATCAATCTTGATACAGGGTACTTATTATATGTTGTACTTTGGATTCCTAAAGCTTTTAGTCTACTAACCCATCATCCAAGGGTAGTTTTCACTATAAGTAAAAAAGAATTTTTGGACGGACACTATAATTTACAGTTTTTTACTATGTAAAATCTGAATTTTCTTTAAAATAAAAAACATCTATATTGATTCTGACACTTCTACATCCAACTCACAGATGTAACCTTGCTTTGATAAAATAAATTATTCATATAACCCTTTTAGAAGTTAAGTTGTAGTCATTTGTTTTGGGCATGTCATTTTCAAGCCTGAAACATGAAAAACAGGCTTGGTGCTTAACAGATTAATAACGGTATCTAACTTGAGTTTTTATTATATCAAAAACCTGTTGAAATGCTGATGTTATTTTTACTGTCCCCAAAAAGCGCGTCGGCAGCCTCCAGGAATGCTTCTTTCACAACTTTGCCGTCTTTGAAAGACTTCATGTGTTTCGCAAGAACGTGGCTGACACGATAAGATGCTATGGTAGCAGCCTTGCTCTTGTTGTTGGGCTTGGTGAAAATGGACTGCTGTGCATTTAGCTGTCCTTTCAGGTCCCTCACCTTTTGGGAGCGTAGGGCAGAATTAGGAGGGAATTCCGTCTCGTAGCGTTTGTGCACTGTTTTGAAATGCCGCTCCTAAATGACCCTTCTTTGATAAAGCCACGCTCACATTGCAGATGAGACAGATGGACTTTGAATTGGAATAGATAAAAAAATAATCATCCTCCCACTCGGAGTGAAAATTATATATTTTGGGCTTTTTTGCTTCTGCCATAATTGTGGTCTTGTGTGTGTGCGGACTGTCACTCCTGTTGCCACGGACAACGTCAGCTAACTGGTGCCCAATGCCCACCAGCCACGCCCCGATACATGGGGTCACGCCAATCACAAAGCTTTGATGCGTTCAAGTGCATTATTCTGGCACAGGAAGATTATGTTATAGGACATTAACGATAAAACAGAATATTGTTGTTCTATTTTTAGACACATCTCGCGATCGACTGGGAATCTCCCCGTCGATCGCGATCGACTGGTTGGGCACCCCTGCCCTATATCAAGGTGTGCAGAATTATTAGGCAGCTTCTTTTCCTCAGTCAAAATGGGCCAAAAAAGAGATTTAACTGACTTTTGAAAAGTCTTTCAGAGGGATGCAGCTCTTGAAATTACTAAGATATTAGTCTGATCACAGAACCATCAAACCTTTTGTTGTAAATAGTCAACAGGGTCACAAGAAACGTGTTGAGACAAAAAGACGCAAATAAACTGCCAAAGATCTGAGAAGAATTAAACGTGAAGCCACCAGGAAGCCATTATCCTCCAGTGCCGTCATATTCCAGAACTGTGACCTACCTGGAGGGCCCAGAAGTCTCAGGTGTTCAGAGGCATGGCCAAGGGTTGGAAGGCTGAAACCACCACTGAACAAGACACATGAGTTCAAACGTCAAGACTGGGCCAAGAAACATCTGAAGGTTTTCTGGACTGATGAGATGAGGGTGACTCTTGACGGACCAGATGGATGGGCCCGTGGCTGGATCAGTACCAGGCCCAGAGCTCCACTTCAACTCTGACACCAGCGAGGTGGAGGTGGGGTTCTGGTATGGGCTGGTATTATTAAGGAGGACCTAGTTGGACCTTTTTGGGTTGAAGATGGACTCAAAATCAACTCCCAAACCTGCTGCCAGTTTTTACAAGACACTTTCTTCCATCATTGGTACAGGAAACAGTCTGCATCTTTCAGGAAGACCATGATTTTCTGAAGGACAATGCTCCATCGCATGCTTCAAAGTACTCCACTGTGTGGTTAACCAGTAAAGGCCTTAAAGAGGAACGAATAATGACATGGCCCCCTTCCTCACCTGACCTAAACCCTTCCTCACCTGACCTAAACCCTTCCTCACCTGACCTAAACCCTTCCTCACCTGACCTTAACCCTTCCTCACCTGACCTAAACCCTTCCTAATCTGACCTAAACCCTTCCTCACCTGACCTTAACCCTTCCTCACCTGACCTTAACCCTTCCTAATCTGACCTAAACCCTTCCTCACCTGACCTTAACCCTTCCTCACCTGACCTAAACCCTTTCTCACCTGACCTTAACCCTTCCTCACCTGACCTAAACCCTTCCTCACCTGACCTAAACCCTTTCTCACCTGACCTTAACCCTTCCTCACCTGACCTAAACCCTTCCTCACCTGACCTTAACCCTTTCTCACCTGACCTTAACCCTTCCTCACCTGACCTTAACCCTTCCTCACCTGACCTAAACCCTTCCTCACCTGACCTTAACCCTTTCTCACCTGACCTTAACCCTTCCTCACCTGACCTAAACCCTTCCTCACCTGACCTTAACCCTTCCTCACCTGACCTAAACCCTTCCTCACCTGACCTAAACCCTTCCTCACCTGACCCTAAACCCTTCCTCACCTGACCTAAACCCTTCCTCACCTGACCTTAACCCTTTCTCACCTGACCTTAACCCTTCCTCACCTGACCTAAACCCTTCCTCACCTGACCTAAACCCTTCCTCACCTGACCTAAACCCTTCCTCACCTGACCTAAACCCTTCCTCACCTGACCTTAACCCTTCCTCACCTGACCTAAACCCTTAATCACCTGACCTAAACCCTTCCTCACCTGACCTTAACCCTTCCTCACCTGACCTTAACCCTTCCTCACCCGACCTAAACCCTTCCTCATCTGACCTAAACCCTTAATCACCTGACCTAAACCCTCACCTGACCTAAACCCTTCCTCACCTGACCTAAACCCTTCCTCACCTGACCTTAACCCTTCCTCACCTGACCTAAACCCTTAATCACCTGACCTAAACCCTTCCTCACCTGACCTTAACCCTTCCTCACCTGACCTTAACCCTTCCTCACCCGACCTAAACCCTTCCTCATCTGACCTAAACCCTTCCTCACCTGACCTAAACCCTTCCTCATCTGACCTAAACCCTTAATCACCTGACCTAAACCCTCACCTGACCTAAACCCTTTCTCACCTGACCTTAACCCTTCCTCACCTGACCTAAACCCTTTCTCCCCTGACCTTAACCCTTCCTCACCTGACCTAAACCCTTCCTCACCTGACCTTAACCCTTCCTCACCTGACCTAAACCCTTCCTCACCTGACCTAAACCCTTTCTCACCTGACCTAAACCCTTAATCACCTGACCTAAACCCTTCCTCACCTGACCTTAACCCTTCCTCACCTGACCTTAACCCTTCCTCACCCGACCTAAACCCGTCCTCACCTGACCTAAACCCTTCCTCACCCGACCTAAACCCGTCCTCACCTGACCTAAACCCTTCCTAATCTGACCCAAACCCTTCCTCACCTGACCTAAACCCTTCCTCACCTGACCTTAACCCTTCCTCACCTGACCTTAACCCTTCCTCACCTGACCTAAACCCTTCCTCACCCGACCTAAACCCGTCCTCACCTGACCTAAACCCTTCCTCACCTGACCTTAACCCTTCCTCACCTGACCTTAACCCTTCCTCACCTGACCTAAACCCTTCCTCACCTGACCTTAACCCTTCCTCACCTGACCTAAACCCTTCCTCACCTGACCTTAACCCTTCCTCACCTGACCTTAACCCTTCCTCACCTGACCTAAACCCTTCCTCACCTGACCTAAACCCTTCCTCACCTGACCTAAACTCTTCCTCACCTGACCTAAACTCTATAGAGAACTTGTGGGCCCTTCTTAAAGGGAGATTTACGGTGAAGGAAACAACTCTCTGAACAGAGTCTGTGGTTGCTGCTGTAACAAAAGGTGATCGTCACCTGACCTTAACCTTAACCCTTCCTCACCTGACCTTAACCTTAAACCTATGATTCAGAGAAGGCTTGGGAGAAGGTGATGAGATCAGATGAGACCAACGAGATCTTTGGCAGCAACTCGACACACCGTGTTTGGAGGAAGAGAAATGCTGACTATAACCCCAGAACACCATCCCCCCCCACCGTCAGGCATGGAGGTGGAAACATTCTGCTTTGGGGGTGTTTCTCTGCTCAGGGGACAGGACGGCTTCCCTGCACCGAGGAGAGGATGTACGGGGCCATGCACCGTAACATCTTGGCCGATAGCCTCCTTCCCTCAGCCAGGACACTGAAAATGGGTCATGGAGGGGTCTTCCAGCAGGACAATGACCCTGAACATACGGCCAAGACAACACAGGAGAGGCTAAAGAAGAAGCACATTGAGGTGATGGAGGGGCCTAGCCAGTCTCCGGACCTTAATCCCATAGAACATCTGTGGAGGGAGCTGAAGCTTCCAGAGGCCAAGCATCAGCCTCAAAACCTGCAGGATTTGGAGAGGGTCTTCAGAGAGGAGTGGACCAACATCCTTCCTGAGTTGTGCACAGACCTGGAGACCAGCTACAAGAAGTGTCTGACCTCTGTGTGTCCAACAAGGGTTTCTCCATCAAGTACTAACACATGTTCTGCAAGGGGATCAAATACTTATTTCACAGTTAAATGCAAATCAATTTGTATCTTTCATATAATGTCCATTTCTGGATTTTCTTTCTGATATTCTTACTCTCACTGTTAGTATAAACCTACCATTAAAAGTATATAGACTGTTCTTTTCTTTGTAAGTGGGCCAACTTACAAAATCTGCAAGGGATCAAATAATTATTTCCTCCACTGTACATATCTATAATATGTAGCTATACCATAGCTTGCTGGTGCCTTTGGCCGTCCACTCAGGGCTGCAGAGGGGAATGGAATCTGGTTGCTGGGAAAGTCACGGAGACAGAATGCTTCTCTCTCTATTGTTTTGATTATTATTATGCTCTCTATGATCTTGCCGCTTTTACAAGAGACTTCAGAGACATTTTTTTTCTCAAATGCTTACTATTCAGTTGAAAAACGCACATAAACATCACACAAGGCACCTGTTGTTTTATTATAAAGAGCTTTTTCTTTGTTTATATCTCTGGCTTTATCCCTGTGTGTTTCCTGTACAGGGGGTGAATCTGTCTGGCGGTCAGAAGCAGAGGGTAAGCCTGGCCCGGGCCTTGTACTGTGACCGCGCTGTCTACCTGCTGGATGACCCGCTGTCTGCCGTCGACGCTCATGTAGGAAAACATATTTTTGATCAAGTCATCGGCCCACGGGGACTGCTGAAGGACAAGGTGTGTATGATCTTTAGATTCACCAAGCTAGAGCACAATGCGTTCCTGCTGATCATTGCTAATGGTTCAAACTGATATGTGTTATAGGCAGTAAGTAAGCCATGGTCAGATGAACCAATACAAAGTGTAAATGGTCCACCAAATGAAAGATCTCAATTTAACTTTAAAACTACAGGAAGTACAGACATGTGCCTTTAATTACATCACAAAGTTCCAAAGAAATTTTTTTTCATAAAATTCTCCCTTTTTTAACACTAGAACCGCCAACGGGTCAATTTTACCCACAGCTGTTTTTTGATTGTATGTAACTTTTTTTCAATAAAATATTAAAGTCTCCCAGTCCGTGACTTTTCCTGAAAGGGTGTTATGTAGCACCCTCTGTTGTTAAAAATGGTCAATATGAAGTCAGATTGAAAAAATCGCCCAAAAAATTGCCTTTTATACCTATATCCGCCAGCGGGTAATATTTACCTCATAGAAAATGCAGCGTAAACATGACGTGTTGCTATAGCAAAGCCTTTTGTCTACTGCGGTTCCATATAGATACAGATGGAGCGTTTTATTTTGGACAGTTTGAAACGCGAGGGTCGTGATTGGTCCAAGATCGGCCCGAGATCGGCCCGTGATGAAGAGCCGGCCCCCAGTCTGACTTGATACCGCCCCCGTGATAAATAAATGTAATTATTGTGAAGCCAGCTGCAATGGATCATTGATCCACCAGGGGGTGCAGTGGGGTTCCACACTGGAGTCATGTGAAATCAACTTCGACACAGTAAACTGGATGTACAGTATGTCTGGTACTAATGTATAGCGGATCTTTGTTAAGATCCATATGTCACGGATAGGATCATAGTCTGTGCTAAATAAGACATGTAATCATTTACAAAACATCACCATGTTGTTATTTAACAAAATAATGTTGTTTAGTCGAAAAAAAACGAACGAGCCGGCTCTCCCGATTTTTAATCCTAATTTAATCATCATCTTCACCACGATCATTGATGTTTATGTTCGCCGAATTGACATGAAATCACTGACAAATATGAATATTCTGTATTCAACTTCATTGAAACGATCAGGATGGGTGTTATTTTTCCCCACAATGACCAAGTCGCTGCAAATTATCCCGTTTATTACATGGCCACATTCTCAACAAAGTAACGACATGACTCCCAATCTTAATTGAAATGCTTTTATGGATTTAGAAAATGTTTTTATTGATTTAAAAAATAGTTGTATGTATTGATTTAAATTGACATGCATCCGCTAAGAGAAAACATGTTTTATGTAATTTTATAAGGACTTTTCAATGTTCGACATCGCTCATGTGAAATCAACTTCGATACAGTAAACTGGATGTTGTGGTGCCGAGAGACGGGAGTCGGAGGTGGGGTATCAAAAGTACAAGCTAAACTTTTATTTAGCATCTGAACACACATGTAAACAACTTCATGCCCGGGAAGCGAAGACCGGCGGAAACAGCTGGTCTGGTTCACTAAAATGTCCGTGCGGAACAATACCCCAACCCATAGATCCGTGGGTGAATAATGTCAATCACCACAATGTACAGTATGTCTGGTACTAATGTGTAGGTTACTCTGAGTGACAAGCTTACAGTTAGTGAAGTAATACTTTTTTTTTGTGAGTCACGACCTGACTGTTTCATTCTAACATAACGGCCGCTCCAAATATGACTGTTTCCACTCGGACTTCAATACAGCAACACCATTGTTTGGTTTCCATGGTAGCGTGTCTCTTTAGTAGCATGCACTCCTTTCCTGTAAATTACAGGTCCAGCCAGGCAAAACAGTAATATGAAATATGAACGTTAGTTTTTAACTGAAATGATCAAATAAAGTCAAAATGTCACAGTGTTTACAAACATTGACCATACCGTTCACCAGCCCCCACCCACCTATGTTGAATATAGCCTACTCTTTGTTTAAAACTAATTGGCCATCGGAATGTGTGTGTGTCCCAACCCCCCCTGTGATATCTCTTCTCCAGCAGTCTGTAGGTTTGTGTTCGCATATTTATGCTGTCGCAGTTCCTGTTGTTTCTATCGCGCATTGCCGGTATGAAAGGGTCTGTGCCGGAAATATCAAGATAACACGGCAGGGTCCGTTACAGTTTGTTTTCATCTGATTTCAAATAAACAAAGTCTTGGCTTTCAGAATATTAAACTTGTTTCGGCAAATTTAGATGATAAATACAACTATGAAGCTTGTAACGGCATAATTACTTAAGCGGAGAACGGAGTAATGTAACGTTACAGCAGGCATAACAACAGCCGGTGTTTATTTTATTATTATATATAGTCGTTATTCATTTGTTTTAAAGCTCAATAAGGAAGATTTAAACTTTCACACACGTTGACCGGCGAAAAACCGGTTCACCTACCCCCCTCTGAGTGAATACCTGTTAACTTCACATCTTGTCACAAACTTTTTGGAAGAAAAGACTGACCCAAGATATCTTGGTTTGATTTGGAGAAGGCTTTTAAAGCCTATTGTATACTAACGGGCCGTCTCCACAGCAGCGTTAAAAAAATCTTGGAGGTGGGCGTATCTGAAGCTTGAGGATTTTTTGCGAGCAACCAATCACATGAATCTCCCGCCCGGGACATACGAAGCAAAAAAGCCTGAAGTAAACTGGATATAAACTCCCCAAAACAGGCGAAAACCTACCACTGTCTCTGCCACCTCCCTCCATGCCTGACTCCTCCGGTTTATATCCCGGTAGGTCTGGTCATAAAGCACCGGGTGATTGATTCGCTACCGCTAATTTCTCCTCCATTTTTTGGAATATGAGGAAATGATCTGCGGTATGTCTCTCCCAGCATACACGCCGTTTGATTGGCTAGAGCTTGAACTGCCAGATTTGCGTACACGGGATTTGATTGGCTGCCGCTTCCACCTCAGCTTCAAAAGTTGAACATTGTTCAACTTTGAATCTTGAAAATCCTGAGAATCTCCGCTCGCCTGCCCACAATGCATTCCGGCGAAAAGTGAGGGAAAGTGACGTCACCCCATTCAAAGTGAATGGGCAGAAGCGTTTCAAGATTTTTTAACGCTGCTGTGGAGACGGCCCGTAACTCTTCCCGTCAAGAATATGAATAGAACTTAGATAGATCACTTCTGCGAATGAATAGCTAAAAATATGTATTTCTTAATAAACTAAATAGGCCACCATTGGTAGCAGTTCTCATTATATACTTCTCAGTAACTGCTCCCCTTAAATTAAATGTATTCTGTAGATTTTGGGGATTCATTAATGCATTTATTGCCATCACCATGCTTTTTCAAGACTCTTTTAAATTCTATCATTTTATAAGGACTTTTCAATGTTCGACATCGCGTGAAACAGAGGATTTCGACATTCTGTATTCCTTGCTTACTTCCTTAAACCTTTTCTCCTCCTTATCTCTTTCATGACTTTTTTTTTAATGCCGGTGTTTATTTTATTATTATATATAGTCGTTATTCATTTGTTTTAAAGCTCAATAAAGAAGATTTAAACTTTCACACACGTTGACCGGCGAAAAACTCTGCCCGGTTCCTTCGGCCCCCACCACGTTGAATAAACAGAAGGCTGCTTTTGTGGAGGAAGTACTGTATGTTGATTTTTGACATGTAAATGGGTACCTACCCCCCTCTGAGTGAATACCTGTTGTACCTGTCCGGGGCTAAGCCCATAGGACGATGCTCTGATGTCATCACCCTCGCACATTTGTCATATGTTTACAAATAACAATGTTAACACTTTCTCGTTCTTAATATATGCTATATTTAGGGTCGATATGTGTTGAATTTACTTTAAAATAGCAGATCACTGTGATTCGGCTTAGTGAACGTGTGTCTCTTCTCCGCGGCTCCTCCGTGCAGAGAGGCCCCCCCCCCCGTTGACAATTCACGAGCGTCTAACTCTCTCCCCCCTCCCCCGTCGCACCTTCTAACAGAACCCCCCCACATATCAAATCCCAATTTAACTGCTCTGGAGCCGAAATGAAAGAGTTTTAAAAATGTTTACGTTTTGGTACGTTTTTAGGGAAATGTTGTAATATTGCAACGTTGGCCTTAGGTGGGAGCAGAATTTCTGTATTTCTACTCACATTGTCTGAATAAATATATTGAACAACTAAGGGTTCATTTGCAGGATTGATTGCTTACTTAGCCCTATATCAGTATATAGCATGAATAATAATCACACATCACTCATATTTGTTATGAATAATCATTTATCATTTATTAAATAGTAAGTTGCTTTGGATAAAAGCGTCAGCTAAATGCAATTTATGAAAGCCTCACTCAGGATTTTTTTAACAAGTGTTTTTATTGCTCTTTGGGCATTAAAAACAAGATTTTAACTTTAGTTTTTTATATAATATCTGCATTTTCTCTTGTGAAAAACGAAGTCTTAGTTTGGCCATAGTTATTTAATATATAACGCCATCTCCTGGTTAAATCCTGAAATTGAAAATCTGGCAACGCCCTCTTGCAAAATAGTGGGAGGGCTTAACATTCCCAGATACTGGTCTTTGGCAGGTCTTAGGCAGGTAACTGGCTGGTAGTAGGCAGGAAGCTGTATGCTGGAGTCTGAAATAAGATGCCCCATCTGTAGAGAGATAGATTGAGAGAGAGATAGATAGATAGAGAGAGATAGACCGATAGATAGTTATAGATAGATCGATAGATAGTTATAGATAGATCGATAGATAGTTATAGATAGATAGAGAGAGAGATAGAGAGATTTGTACCTAAACAAAACACAAGTCTAACACCAAGCGTTTAAATCAGCACTGGTAGCGATATTTTATACTTCATGCTGTCTGCACAAACTATATAATATGAAAAGCTGAGAGTCCACAGATTCTATTGGTATAAGTTTCATCCCTGTGCGATCAAAACTCACTGTTCTACATCAAATCAATAGCGGGTCAATTTGACCCGTTGGCGGTTTTAGGTATACAGCGACCTCTGGTGGTTCTAGTGTTAAAGATCCCCTATTATACTCTTCTTCAACAATATATTCCAGGTCTCAGATATATACAGAACATCTCTCTGAAGTGTTTGGCTGAAACACCAAACAGATCATTGTGACATCCCGTAAACTCCTCTGTTTCAGCCCTGTTCCAAAAGGGCTGACTCTGTGGGTGTTTCTCAATGTCGGGGACGCTTGCTTGGTAGCACATGTCTTCCGAGTCACTTGCTTCAGAAGCGAGGCAAGAATCCTTCCTAGCCTCGGAAAACAAAGAATTGTGGAACAGGCTAACAGGTGTGCAGGTGTGCGTCATATGCGAGGCCCTGCCTTAAATGGAGCGCTATTTCCGCCAAAGATTTGGAAATTGGTCCGTGCGCAAAGCATTGTGGGGATTATTAATAATAATTATAATAATTAATTATATAAATTGTCAATATTTGTGTGTTTAAAATATGGAATGCACCCAGAAATTTGTAAAATATGATTAAAAATAATAATTTGCGCAATATATATATGCTTTTCCTATACTGTATGGCTGAAGTTCAGTTCGGAGGCAAGTCTCTGTAGCAGGTTAGCCAATTGTTGATTAAATATATGAACATATGTCATAAAATGTAGCCAATCAGCGTCCTCAAAACTAATACAAGAGGGGCGATTATTTTATCGCCCCAAGTAAGCAACTACTACGCAGCTGGACGACGCCCACAGGATTGCGGTGAGGAAAGACAATGAGGAGGTGGATAAAAACAGGCATATTTTATCCATAATAATGAAGTTTTGTGGGGCTTTTGAGTTGGCTTCAACTTTTTGTATTACTGTTGATTATACCATTGTTCTGTAATATATATATATATATATATATATATATATATATATTTCCATACATATATATATATGATATATATATGATATATATATATATATATATATATACATACATAGATGTTGCAAGTATTGCTAATGCCATTGTTTTCTAAGTTTTTATACATAGTCCTCAGTCTGAAATGCTTCAATTGTTTATGGAGGCATTAAATTGTAAGACAAAAATTATACAAGTTACATTTTTTTAAACACAATCATGTTAAATATGTGCAGACTCGTGTGCTGGTGACCCATGGACTGAGCTACCTGCCCCAGGCCGACCTGATCCTGGTCCTGGTGGAGGGGCAGATCACAGAGATGGGCTCCTACCAGCACCTCATGGCCACAGAAGGAGCCTTTGCTGAGTTTCTGCGAACATACGCTGCCGTCGAACACACTGACAGCAATGGTGAGAAATTCATTTCATTTCATTTCAAACCTTTATTTATCCAGGTGTATCCCATTGAGATCATTGATCTCTTTTTCAAGGGAGACCTGCTCAAGTAGGTTCCACATGAAACATAAAAACATAAACAGAACAACAAAAAGGACATCATACAGCATCATTTCAGGGATTACAATTGACATAACTATCCACATGAACAGGTACCAACAGCTTCCGATTGAGTAGCATCCAACCGAGCTTCAAAAACATTTAGTGGCACCAGATTGCTCAGTTTCCATTTTAATTGCAGACTATTCCAGGACAGTGGAGCTGCGCATCTAAATGCTATCTTCCCTAAGACAGTCCTAGCAGTTGGCACATTTAATAAAACCACAGCATGCGATCTCAGGCAGTAGCCACTTACAATTCGCCGTGAGATCAGGGAGCAGATGTAGGATGGAAGTTTCCCTAACATGGCTTTGTATATAAAAATGTACCAGTGACTGAGCCTCCGTACAGTTAGCGAAGGCAAACCAGCCCTTGCATACAGGGTACAGTGATGGGTTAATGCTTTACAGTTTGTCACAAATCTCAGTGCACTGTGATACGCAGCATCTAAAAAAAAATAAAAAATACTGCATACACACAGCCCTGAAGAGTAATGGATTACATGTGACGGGATTACGTAATCAGGATAAAGAAAATGGTAACTGTTCCCTTTCAGTTACATAAAAAAGGCATATTAAAATTGGGGATTACAATCTTACAATATATTTGAAAAAAAAAACATACATCCCAACACTTCAAGTCTCACATCACCCAGTGAAAGGAGTCTTACTTGGTGGGGATGGAATAGCTGCTTTCATTCTTTTCTTAAATATCTTATTTATTTGTATTACAGTAGGAGGAAACCAGATAAACTAAACAAAAATACTGCTAATGATTTTAATTCATGTATTAAACTTAAACGGTATACTGTAGGCCTGGTATCTTTGTATTTGCTTCGGCTGGTATCTCTGTATATGCTGTTTTTCTTCTTTTTGTCAGTGTAGTAGGTGGACACCTGATTTGTTTAAAATACGCTGTTAATCCATATACTGCAGTAACTTAAAAAAGAGCATATGGTGTTTGTTTTTTAAAGGTAAACTACTAATTGTAAAACAATATGTTTTTAAAGTAAACCTCCCAAATATTCTGGTTTAGTTGCATTACATTGTTTTGTTTCCTGCCTCATTAAGAACCTGTGGCAAATAGTGGAACCAAAGGAGCAGAGAATGGCATTGTTACTGCTCTTCTTGGGTGAGTAAAACTTAACAACAATGGAGCTCTACACCATAGAGAAACCATACAGTATTTATCAGGCTTTGGATACACACCCACAATGCCTTTTAGTGCAATAAATACATTTTCTATTCAGAATATAGAATTGTAAAGAATGGGCTTCATGTAAGAAATGTTTTGGTATTCTTATCCTTCTCTTATTTTTTGTAAGTGTTACAAATCTTACAAACTTGAAGTAAATGACTTGATTCGGCCTGACGATAACCTCCTGTTTAAGAGGAGCTGAAAGTTATTGAGATTTCATCATTAGCATTATTATTTTAATACCAGAAAAGTACGAAAAATATTTTTGATGTAGATCGAGCACAAGGCTCACTATCATTAGACTTACACTTAACGTTTATTTCAGCATTATATATACTAACTGTTCGCCTTATTTAAGGTCTATGTTTTTACATGTTGCTTCGTGTTTTGGTAGTAGTCAAAGTGTCGACAGTGTGTCCAAACTGTCTCAGACGGGTAACCAGGAACTAAGCAAGGAAGCCAAACACCCCGAGCTGGGCAAACTGACAGAGGCTGACAAGGCCAGCACCGGACAGGTAGGTGGAGGCTTTTGAAACCCCATCAGAGAAAAACATTCATCATGGTGATGGAAAATCTGAATGAGCTTAGCAATAAGAGACTGATGTGTTGTCTGGATGTTTATTGGATCTTGTACAAGGTGTTGAGAGTATGAACAATACAAGTGAATACAGAGGTGCAGTCACATTGTTCCACCATCAATTCTGAAGCACAGCCATTCTCTCTTGATGTTTATCCTAAACAAGGCAAGCATTTAACTTAATCTAAAAATTAGTCGGCTCAATTGGTTCTCAAATCCTAGTCAGTGGCGGCGCCAGGGTATGGCTGGGGTAGGCTACAGCCATACCAAGAAATGGCTTAGCCCCACCTTAGCCCCACCATGAAAAATGATGTTAAAGTAAGCTAAATAAAGTCCGTCATCTCGCGCGGAGTAAATTGCACAGACAGCAGTTAGTCAAATTGATTTCAGTAGCCACTTGTCTGGAAATACCGAAGACTAGAAACGGTTTTGAAAACTTTTGTCACATAGTGATCTTCTTCCCAATAAAACATCTTTGATAATGTCTTCTGGCCAATCAGAATCACGATAACGGCGTGCAGGAAGTCCCAACGGAGAATACTTTAGCGGTAGTACATCTCTATATACATAGATACAACATTACGTGAAATAAGACCCCACGGTTTGATGATTGATAGGTGTGTGGACTGTCTTTCATTTTGACACACAGAACAATGGGGGCTATCCACCCTTATCCACAATGTAAAGTAATTCACACAGCCTCTTCCCTCTTCTCTGAGAGGAGGAGCAGGTTCAGCTTTCAGAACAAAGTAACAAAAAACAAAAATGGCATTCATTTTTTTAAATGTGTAGTAATAGATTTATTTATTTTTCTTCTCAAGAGAGTACCAGAATGTGTATTTTATGTTAGTATTTCAAAAAATCTCCTGGGGGAGAATCCCCCCAGACCCCCCTGCAGGGGTTGGGTTTTCAGCATGTCAACTCTTTCACTTGTGGGGAAATTGCAGGATTGGCTTCAGGTCGCCCTTTTTATTTACTACAAGACAAATGTGCCTTTTTATTTCATACAGTTCAATTTGGATTGAGACAGGGAAATAATCTAAACCTCACGCGTGGCGTTTCACTGTCAAGGGAGCGATATAGCGTGTATGTAATTACATTGCAAATACTGACTTGAGCCCCACCACTGTATGGGTTAGCCCTACCATAGATTACCCAACACAAATACTCTGGAGCCGCCACTGATCCTAGTCAACACATTCCTAGCATTCCTGGCCTTGCATGGCAGCAAAACACTGGGGCAGTCTGAATGCGACAGCTCTTTGCGTCTTTGTCTTGTGACTCTATGTAGAGATAAGGATCTGACACCAGGAGAGATATGTGACCTACCTAAATGTTTTCTAGCATGAGAAGGACGTTTAAGATGGTAATATGTAGAAGGCTTGAATATATTTAAACTCATATCTAGGAATTCAATACAAAATGACTTACAGTACCTTGCAAAAGAGTTTACCCCCCTTGGTGCTTTTCTTTTTCTTTTATGTATCCCCACAGTAGTAGAACATAAACTTGTTTTACAAATATATAAAAACTGAAAAGCAGTGTGTGCCGATGCATTCACACCCTTTGCTATGTAGCCCCAACAATGACCTTCAGAGTTCAATTATGAGTTGAATAAAGTACACCTGTGTGCAGTCCAAGTGTCACATTATCTCTGATATCAGGTACATTATCTCAATCAATCAATCATAGTTTATTTCTATAGCCCAATATCACATTACAGTTGTCTCAGTGGACTTTACAGTTTGTACAGAATATGAATACAACCCCCCAAAGAAACCCCCCAGTTAATGGGGGATAATGGAAGAAACCTCGAGGAGAGCAGCAGAGGATGCTTGAAAATGCATGTGTCTATAAATAAGAAGAAGATGGATCTAGATGGATCTCAACAATCCTGTGGGAGCCATCAGAGAAGTAGTATGATGAGAATCAGGCAGGACCACAGTGACAGGTTCAGCCAGGACTCAGGATCCAGGACTCAGGATCCAGGACTCAGGACCACAGCAACAGGCACCGCCACGACTCAGGATCCCGGCGTAGACAGACACCAAAAAGAAAAGAAATTTAGGGGAAGCTGGGTTATTGGGAACATGAGAGTACACAGGTACAGACAGACAGAAGGAAGAAGTAAGGTGTCCCCCGACAGTCTAAGCCTATAGCAGCAAAACTAGGGGCTGAATCTAATCAGCCCTAACTATAAGCTTTATCAAAAAGGAATGTCTTAAGCGCACTCTTAAAAACGGATAGGGTGTCTGCCGCCCGAACACAAACTGGAAGCTGATTCCACAAAAGAGGAGCTTGATAAGAAAAGGCTCTGGCTCCCATTGTACTTTTAGAGACTCTAGGAACAACCAACAACCCTGCATTCTTGGAACGCAAGCACACATATATTTGCGGTACTCCCCAGAAATGGCAAGTGCACTATAAGTTATATTTGCACTTACCCATCCTCAAATGGATCCTTGCTCTCCCTGTATTCTTCTTCTTCAGAAGAGTCGAAGCCTTCAGGTTCTGATGCGCCATCTTCTTCACTGCTGCTCGCGAAAATAATCTCCAGCGTGTCTGCAACTGTAAAGTTTCGAGCCATTTTCTCTGTCTATCTATCTCTTCCTCACAGAATAAAAGACTAAAACTGATGGGAGACACCTGTTATATATTTTTTAATTGGTGGGTAGGTCCTTAGTGATTTCTCGAGTGTCCATTGGTCATTCCAGACCGACATGGCTGCCGGCCGAGATTTCCTTGACGGACACACAAATCCACCAATCACACACAGTGTAACGCCGAGTCACGCTCCTTTGAGCAGCCCTATTGGCTGCTGTGCCCTGGTTACAGTCTCACAGGAGGTACTGCTGGAAAGCTACACTTCCAGCGATTCCGCGGTTATCTGAATCATATTTATACTCTTTATAATCGAAAATATATGATTAAGTACGTAAAATATGCGCACCTCGACACGCCGGCGTGTCCACGTTAATTACTTTAAGGTCCCCTATTATGCAAAAATTCACTTTTTAATGTCTTTTATACATAAATATGTGTCCCCGGTGTGTCAGGAGTCACAAAGTGTCAGAAAATAAAACCCTCTCTTTCCCTCCATACCCACATCTCTGAAAACGGGGGAACAACGGAGCTGATCAAGATTTGCTGCGGTCATGACGACATAACTAAAATGTGAGCTGGCTTTACGCCCACGGCCCTATCAGAAACGTCGCTATCAGAAACAATGTGTGACGTGTTTTGGAAGTACTATGGTCTTTGTTTACATTAGCAAGCATCACTAACACTCAGAGCTAACCTGTACTGGAGAGAGTATGTGTAAAGAAGCCGGATATAAAAGGTACTCACCTTGTGGTAAACCCGCGAGAGAGAAAGAGTTTGAGCTCCATACTGTTTCAGAAATAATCCTTGATGTGGTTTGGAACATAATATGGCGTTTAATCACGGCAGTGTTTAGCTGAGTATCTGGGTAGAATTCTCCTGCATGAGCTATTTTTTTTTTTTTTAGGGTGATCTGTTTGGTATTTTGAGCAAAACACTTAATAGACATGTTTTTTATACAATCCCCTCCAAAACTATTGGAACAGCGAGGCAAATTGCTTTATTTTTGCTGTACACTGAAAATAATTAAGTTTGACATCAAAAGATGAATATGAGACAAAAGGTCAGTATTTCAGCTTTTCATTCCAGGTATTTACATCTAGATCTGTTAAACAACTGAGAAAATAGCACCTTGTGTTTAAACCCACCCATTTTTAAAGTGAGCAAAAGTATATAGGAACAGAGACTTAAAGGTCCCATGTCATGGCCATTTCCACTGATCATAATTCCATTGTTGAGGTATACTAAAATAGATTTATACCGTGCAATTTTTCCAAACTCACATTGGTTTCTCATACAGCATCTCTGTATAGTATGTGTATTCACCGGTATTCACTCTCTGTCCTAAACGGCTTGTTGGAGCTCCTGCCCCCCCCTCCCTGTGAGCCCAGTGTGCTCTGATTGGTCGAGAAGCTGACAGGCTCGTTGTTGCTCGCACACACACAGACACACACACTGCTGCGGGCTGCTGGAGGAACAGACAGGCTTGGCGATAAAGCTAGAGCAAGCTAAACTCATCCTGAGCACACACAAACACTCACATCCGAAGTAAAAACAATAAGTGTGGCTTGATATGGAGTAAGAAAAAGGTTTATAACGCTGTGAGCATGGGTCTGCGGAGAGCATTTCTCCGCGATCCCAACGTAGTAGTCCGAAAAACGTTTACCCATTTAAACAGTCGTGGTAGATACCTTGTTTGTTTTAAACATCATAAATACACGAACAACAATGAGTACTTACAGGTTGTGTACCCGAATCTCCCGCTGGTCCAAACAAAGTAGGAACAGCATCGTTCTTCAGTGCCCTACGCTGTACATATCCGGCATGAATCGCTGAAAGGTTTGGGAAGCTTTGTTTCGTGAAAGGCTGGCAGAGGGTGTGGCCTCTGGGCACTGTGACGTGTGACACGTCACGATACCCAGGAAGAAAATGAGAAATCTCCAACGAGGCGTTTTGGAGAGGTCTTTTCTGTGTTAGAGTTTTACTCCCTACAGGGTGTACTTTGAGGGGTTTTGACTCTGCAGACCGTTTACATGCATAAAAACCTTCATAACACACAAGGGGACGGGTAATAACCGGAAAAGCATGACATGGGACCTTTAAAATAGTGTGAAAAGTGAATAATACTTAGTATTTAATTGCAAATCCTTTGCTTGCAATAACTGCATCAAGCCTGCAACCCACTTACATCACCAGACTTTTGCATTCTTCTTTTGTGATGCTTTTCCAGGCTTTCAGCCCAGCCTCTTTCAGTTGTTGTTTGTTTCGGGGGGTTCCTCTCTTCAGTCTCCTCTTTAGCGGGTGAAATGCACGCTCAACAGGGTTTAAGTCTGGAGATTGACTTGGCCAGTAAAAGAACTTCCACTTCTTCCCCTGATGAACTCCTTGGTGGTTTTGGCAGTGTGTTTTGGATTGTTGTCTTGCTGCATGATGAAGGATCTCCCGATCAGTTTGGTTGCATTTCTCTTTAAATTGGCAGACAAAATGTTTCTTCAGACTTCTGAGTTCATTTAGCTGCTGCCATCATGTGTTACATCATCAATGAAGATCAATGAGCCCGTCACAGAAGAAGCCATGCAAGCCCAAGCCATGACTTTACCTCCACCATGTTTCACAGATGAGCTTGTGTGTTTGGAATTATGAGCGGATCATTTCTTTTTCCACACGTTAGGCATTCCATGACTTTGGTAAAGGTTCATCTTTGTCTCATCTGTCCATAAAAATGTGTCCCAGAACTTTTGAGCCTCTTCTCTGTACTTTTTGGTAAATCCAAATCTGGCCTTCCTGTTCTTAAAGCTAATGAGTGCTTTGCATCTTCTGGTGTAGCCTCTGTACTTTTCTTCCCAAAGTCTTCTGCTAACGCTGGATTGTGAGACCTTCACTCCTGCCCTCTGGAGGTTGTTGGTGATGGTTTCTTTACAGTTCTCACAATGTTTCTGTCATCAACTGCTGATGTTTTCCTTGGTCGACCAGTTTGAAGTCTGATGCTCAGTACACCAGTGCTTGCTTTCTTCTTAAGGACATGCTAAATGGTTGTACTGGCTATGGCCAATGTTTGTGCAACGGCTCTGATGTATTTTCCATCTTCTCTCAGTTTCAAAATTGCACACATTGCAGACACACACACCGTTAATATTGGGTATTTTATTTGGTTCGGGATTCCTATGAATGACTGCCCAGGAGAAACGCAGTGAAGCGTTTAAGACTGCGACTCCGCCTCCTGGTCTCAACTCTAGTTTCTCATGGATTAAGTCCAAAAAGTCCTACAATATAGGCCGAAATTAGATCTGCACCTTCCAAAGTAGGATGAATGCCATCTCCAATTATTTACGAAGCCCACATCGTTTGCTGGACACCACCAAGACAACCAGCGCTGAAATTATGACATGTCATCATTGATTAGATTGGGGAGGGGACCAGAGAAAATTACGATGTCCGACATTGTTTTAGCATATCTACACACAGACGCCACATTAACTTTGGTGCATTCTGATTGGCGTAAACGAACATCATTACCACAGACGTGAATAACAATCCTACTGTATTTACGTTTATTCTTAGCCAGCAGTTTAAGATGCGTCTCAACGTCGCCCGCTCTGGCCCCCGGAATGCATGTGACTGTAGAGGCTTCGGTCTCTAAATTCACGTATCTCAGAATAGAGCTACCAATAACCAGAGTTGGCTTCTCAGCGGGTGCCTCGCTGAGTGGGGAAAATCTGTTAGATACGTGAAGGGTTGGTGGGGACCTCGTGCCGGTCCGCACCGGGTAACACAGGCTTTACTGTAGCTGAGTTACTTTCTAAAATGCGGAGCCGGCCTTCTATTTCTATGATTCCCGCCTCCAACCTAGCAACTGTACTACATTTAACACATGTACCGGTACCAGTAAAGGAGGTAGAGAAGTAACGGCACATGAGACAGGTAGAGCAGAAAGAACACCCGAGGGTGGGGAAAGAGCCATGGCTATATATCGAGCTAAACTAGCTACCGTTAACAGATCCGTAAGGAGTGTAAGCAACTGTGGAGTTACAGTCGCTAAGAGAAGGAGAGTTGTGAGTGCTTAAGCTGTAGTAACGTGTGATTACAACGTCAGGTAGCTGCCGTGATCAAGAATTTAACTAGATCGATTTACGTTAAGATAATATAAGCTATCACTACATGGAGCAGAACAGACACACACAAATTCCTCGTACGTGTAAACCTACCTGGTAATAAACCTGTTTCTGATTCTGATTCTGATGTTGTGGGGATTATCTGTATATATACCTGTTCTGAAAGGTCCCAGTCTGCCACACCGCTAAGAAAGACACCACCAAGCAAGCAAACTGCACCATGAATACTGAGGAGCTCTCAGAGTATCTGTCCACAGGACCACTTTAAGCCATACACTCCACAGAGCTGGCCGTCATGAAACGCATTCAACTTCAAGGAGCAGTTTTTAAAAGAAGAATGACATTAAATCTCATTGGATTGATGTGCCGACCCTATAGAGACACCCCTCACGAGACGTGCAGATGTATTTGCTGCAAAAGGTGACTCTACTAAGTACTGACTTTAGGGGGGGGATATTTATGCACTATTTGACCTCTTCAAACTGGTAGGCATGTTCTGTACTTAATTGTTGGAAAAAAAACACCAAGGGGGGTGAATACTTTGCAAGGCACTGTAACAATCATCATATATATATATTTGTGCGGTATGTGATGGTCCGTAACAGCCTGATCCTCTCCTCTCCCTCCCCAGGTAAAGCTGTCTGTGTTCTGGTCTTATCTGAAAGCCATTGGGGTGCTTCTGTCTTGCATCAGTCTGATGCTGTTCCTCACCCATCACCTGCTCTCCCTTTTCTCCAACTACTGGCTGAGCCTGTGGACCGACGACCCCGTGGTGAACGGCACTCAGCCCAACAGAAAGATGAGACTGGGGGTGTACGGAGCTCTCGGCCTGTCTCAGGGTGAGGAGTGGTAACGGATGCACAATACAGATGTGACAAAGCAACCAATGCCAGATCAATGTCTAGCTGTAGCTTGTTTGCTCTTGAATGCCAAATAGAATCCATGTGGATTTTTGAATAAGCTTGTAGCGTCCAAAATCAAGAAGAAATAAAACTGAAAATGAACTCCAAATAAAGCTGCCGCAGGGGTAAATGATCCTAGTCCAGGGAAAAGTCCTTTCTGTGCATTTTATTCTATGATCCAATATCATCAAGAACAGTTTTATTTTCCCTGAGCCTCTCCTAAGGCCTCCTTTTGCTTTCCCTGCTAAAAAAACATATGCCAACTGGTGCACTCCTCCCACCAGCACTTGTCTCCAATATATACAATTACACCAGGTGCCCAAATCACTCAGTGCCCAAAGATGCATTCAAAACAAAGCATAAATAATTACCATAAACAATAATATGCCATAATGGCTCTTACAAAGCTATTTGCAATTTCACGACATTGAGAACAACATAATTCGACCACTTTTGCTGCATTAGGATCAATTCTATAAACCTCTGAAAATGCCTTCTTAATTGGCTTCATATTGATCTGGTGGGCCTTCATAAAGAGCGGAGAAGAGCATTAACAAATGCTGTTTTCCTCAGCATTGTGTGTTTGTGACTGGTAGATAGATAATAGTTCTATATGATTATAATATTCTGAGAAAACTTTGAAAAATGATCAACCCCTGACGTTCACTTCATTTGCACTTCATCCTCACTTTAAATGAATCAAATGTTTTTTGAAACAGAAAGATTAGATGTGATGTTTTAAGACAGCAGGGGTTGTGTATTTAAGAGTCATACAGCACATACAGTAGGAATCATCGCACCCAATGAAGCTCAATACTCTTTTGTAGGTGTGGCAGTTTTCGGATACTCCATCTCCATATCCATTGGGGGCATCCTGGCCTCCCGCTGCCTACACAATTCAATGCTGTATGACGTCCTGCGCTCACCTATATCTTTCTTTGAGCGAACCCCAAGCGGCAACCTGGTGAACCGCTTTGCCAAAGAGATGGACACCATTGACTCAGTGATCCCCAGCATTATTAAGATGTTCATGGGCTCCATGTTAAACGTGTTGGGTTCTTGTGTGATTATCCTGATCGCCACACCGCTGGTAGCTATCATAATTCCTGTTCTCGGCCTGCTCTACTTTTTTGTGCAGGTTAGTTGGAAGTTGACATATGACATAACAATAGTTGTCTTTCTTTTTATACATTTTGCGCAAAAAAGGTATGTTTTTTTCTGTCTGGTTTATTGATTTGACTAAATGTGTCTCTGTCTTTCCTCCGTCCAGAGGTTTTATGTTGCGTCATCTCGCCAGCTGAAGCGTCTGGAGTCGGTCAGTCGTTCACCCATCTTCACCCACTTCAATGAAACTCTGCTGGGCACCTCTGTCATCAGAGCCTTTGGTGAACAGGAGCGCTTTATCTGTGAGAGTGACCTGCGGGTGGACCATAACCAGAAGGCTTACTATCCCAGCATAGTAGCCAACAGGTTGGGGACATTAAGGACTCATTCTTACTGAATGTACTACCTGCTGGAAACAGTCTTCCCACTGATTGCATACACTGTGCCTTAGTTGGCACCATAGTCTTATTTCCTTGTTGGGTCTGTTTCTGTTAAGGTGGCTGGCTGTTCGCCTGGAGTTTGTAGGAAACTGCATCGTGTCATTTGCTGCTATGCTTGCTGTCATAGCCAGAGAGAGCCTCAGTCCAGGCATCATGGGTTTGGCTATCTCTTATGCCCTCCAGGTAAACACTCTTTTTGACTTTTACGCAGAGATGGAGCACTCGAGTCCTGGACTCGGACTCGAGTGCCGATTTTCGCGACTCATGACTCGACTCGGACTCGCGCACTGATTGACGCGGACTCGGACTTGTGAATTCTCACGCACGTTGACACTGACTCGTGAATTCTCAGATTCGACTTGTACATTAACGCTCCGACTTGGACTCTGATTCGAGCAAGTTTTGTCTCGAGTCAGATGTACTCTGTCCTGGCGTGTGCACCTGCGAGGCAAGTTCACGTACTGGGCCCCGCTATTCCAGTCTACAGAGTCCAGAGACACACCCCGCATCGTGCTGTATGCTTTCACACATTCTGCTTCCACATTGGGAAAGAGCAGCGCAAAATGCTCGTTATGTGGAAAAAAGATTGAAGAGATTACGGATCGAGTTCAGACATATAGGCTGTCTTGAACACTATCATCAGAGTAACGTGATCTAATCAATACATAAAGATTCAGCCGATAACACGAAAGCACATGGCTACTTAACATGCAGCATGACGTCATTTTGCATGCTAAGTAGCCATGTGCTTTCTGGGGCTTAATCTTCATTGATATCATTTAAACATTCACTATAATAATTGTAGTGTCCCCGGCTGAATGATGGTCAGACTCTCTAACCGATGGTATCTGTTTATTGCACACCCCTGCTTGTATACAATCATTACCAACGTAAGAGCGTGTGCCCTGATCAGCCAGGTGCTAAAAACCCAATGTAACTATTAAGTATATATTAATTTAATATATTTATTTATTCGTCATCTATGTGTGTCAAGTGTTTACACTGCTCCGTTGTCCATTAACTTCCGGTAAAAGTTCCTTCAAAATAAGAGTCCCGATCTTATTACTATCAAAATAAAAGTGCAAAACGAAAACTTTACCATAGGAACATTTGAAAGTTGGCATACAAATATAATCACATCTCTAAAAGGTAACACGTTTTAAATATAGTTAGACATATTAAAGGTCATTTACAATAATAATAATATTAATATTAGTAATAAGCTTTATATTTGTATAGCACCTATTACAAGAATTGTAGCCAAACTGGCTTCACAGCAGTTCAATAGGCAGATTAGTATAACATGACAGGATAAAAGCAATGTAGAGGAGCAGCTACATTTCAACACATATATCCATGAAGATTAATACATGAAGACTTGTGACTCGGACTTGACTTGGACTCTTCTTAGGTGACTCGGACTTGGACTTGAACACAGGTAATGCTGACTCGGACTCGACTCGGACTCTCCCTAGGTGACTCGGACTTGGACTCGAAAAGTGGGGACTCGAGAGTGACTTGGACTCATGAATTGGTGACTTGACTACAACACTGCTTTTACCTGAGATAAAGTATGTTGTCTTCATGAATTCCAGTACCAATTTAACAACCAATGTTGAAGAAAACTGTTAAATGATTGGTTATCCAAAGTCGGTGGCATTTCTAAAAAAGACACAAAACCTTTGTTTTTTTTAATTCTGCATGTTTTTGTTTCTTCTCTCTATTTGTCATTCCTCTGTTGTGTGTGTAGCTGACTGCCTCTCTAACCTGGCTGGTGAGGATGTCCTCTGAAGTGGAGACCAACATAGTGGCTGTGGAGAGAGTGAAAGAGTACAGGGACACAGAGAAGGAGGTGCAAACATGGGATCTCCTTGCTTCTTCTTGGTGCTAGATAGAACCTACAATTTAGGATTAAAGAGAGAGGAAACTTCTAAATTGTACAAGTTGTTTAATTTGATACAATGAAGTTAATGATGATGACCTCAAGGCCACACACAACACACTTACATGCTGTACCATACAACCTTCATTTACAATTTTGTTTCTATACCCCCACAGACACATACCTGTAAGTGTGTGTGTATCTATGTGAGTGTGTATATATATATAATTATCTCATCATCTGTGTGTGTGTGTGTGTGTGTATATATATATATATGTATATATATATGTGCGTGTGTTTATATATATATATATATATACATACCTACATATTTAACATTTCTGTCCTCTGACCACTAGGCAGAGTGGGAACAAGAGACCTCCAGCCTCCCCCCGGGGTGGCCCACTGAGGGCTGCATTGAAATGAGGGGCCTCTGCCTGCGTTACCGCCAAGATCTGGACCTCGCCATTCGCAACATCACCATCAACATCAGCAGCGGAGAGAAGGTGTGCTTTACATCACTACACTGACAGCAGGGGGCCACTCACAATGCTCATATTGATTGTGGGTGAATTCAGGGGTCGTGTTTGATAGAATGTCACTGTACTTGGGTGATATGACGGATAGTGTTGGACAGTATAAGACTTTTATTTGCATTTTCTCTGTGTTGAGTTATGCATGTGAACAGTGTCTCCGGCCAGTAACCTTTGCTGTTACGTCTTTCTACAAGGTGGGGATTGTAGGGCGCACTGGAGCGGGGAAATCCTCCCTAATGCTGGGATTGTTCCGTATCATCGAGGCAGCGGAGGGCCACATCTTTATTGATGGGGTTGACATTGCTCAGCTGGGCCTCCATGAGCTTCGCTCCAGAATCACCATCATACCACAGGTCAGTGCAGAGAGGACACAAGAGGTTTGGATTTCAATTTGAATGTTCTGCAAGGGTTTGAAAATCAATGCTGGCCCAAAGTAAACTGAATATAGTTTTTCCAAGCAAAAGAAAAACACATTGTCCTAATTCAAAGGGGACACTTCCTTTTAGGTCTGTCTTTTGACACATGATTTGTTTAATCACATTGTGGGAAGTGTAGCTTTGAGGCCTTTATAGCAACCTTCCAAGGAAAGGGGCGAGAATTGTGGCCCCCCTCATCTGAGAAATCTAGATAACAAAACAGTTGGTTGAATTGATTTATTTAAAACAAGGGACAGTGTACATTAATCAACATGTTAAAAACATGTAAAAGTACTCAAATTAGCCAAAAGGCTAGTTTTCACCGATAGTCCCTTTGCCAGATGGTGATAGGCATCCTAAAAGCAAGAATTAAAATACCACTACATTGTTATACCAAAAAATGTACATATTTACAATAGACGACATCACTGAATACAGGTAAGGAGCAAGTCATGATAATAAAGAAAACATTCACAATACGCACTCACACACACACCTACACCCACACATCAGTGCTGACACTGTTGGTTATTAATGAGCCACTTTTTAACACTGTGCTTGAATGTGTAGTAAGATGAGGACTCTCTTATTGGTGGTATTGACTCTCTTATTAGCGGTATTGAATTCCATTGATGGGATGCGTTCAATGAAAAGACAGCCTGGCTAAATGCACTTTTCCTAAATGGGATGGGACAGAGACTTAAATCCCTTCCCCTCTTCACAGGACCCAGTGCTGTTTTCAGGCTCCCTGAGGATGAACCTGGATCCTTTTGACAGCTACTCTGATGAGGAAGTATGGAGAGCTCTGGAGTATTCACATCTCAAGAGCTTCGTATCCGGCCTGCCAGACAAACTCAACCATGAGTGTAGTGAAGGAGGAGAGAACCTCAGGTAACTGATTAATATGCAGCCATGCCAACTAGCAAAAACTCAGCTCAGCTGCAGAGAGAACAAGGCATTTGTTTGAATGTGGCTTGTGAAAGTGAAGTAAGTATTTGTTTGCAAACGTAGCCAATAGGGGAATCATCACCTACACTGTTCTCACTTGGCAATTCATTCCATTTACTTCTACTTGGCTTTTTTATTTATACAGTTACGATCAGGCACAGTCAAAAGCCTTTCTCATTGAAAGCTTTTCTCTTTCCTGGTACACCTGTAATGTGAAACATCTGCAGTTTGTGTTGATTTCCTTTATTTGGAATTGGCTCTAACACTGCCATCAGTGCCGGACTGGGACAATAAGTCAGGCAGGGAATAATACACCCAGCCAGGCCATACCAGTTTTTAGTTTTTTTCGGGACATAGGTTACTATTTCAATCTGGTAACCTATCCATGTGAACATGTTTTAAGTGGGGGTGGACCTCAGATACTCTAGGGCAGGGATGGGCAAATGTCGGCCCGGGGGCCTGAGGAACAGCAGGGTGTCTTAGCTAGGTTCAAGTTAGACAACTACAATTACATACAATACATGCAATTTGTGTGTGTGTGTGTGTGTGTGTTCCAAGTGAATCTGCGGCCCCCTGGTGGCCAGTACATACATTATGTGGCCCCCACCACCATCCAAGTTGCCCATCCCTGCTCTAGGGGGTCCGGGGGCATGCTCCCCTTGGAAGTTTTTATTTTTTATTTTGGGGGTAAATGCATCAATCTGGTGGAATTTGAAGGGAAAATAAAGAGAATAGATCTATGGAAACACCCATATGAAATAGACCTGTATACATTTCAATAATCCTAAAATCGTAAGAATATGGCCATAACCAATAAGATACCATATCCAATATGAAAAAACATTGAAACTTGTTTATTTATTTATTTTTGGTTCATTTATAGTTGTGAGTGTGTCTGCTGAATCAGCCTCTCCTCTCTCCCTCCTCTCCCTCCTCTCCCTCCTCTCCCTCCTCTCCCCCCTCTCCCCCCTGCTCCTCTGTGATGCAGCAGGAAAGACTAGTTTTAGCTCTCAACAAGTTTTGTAAGTTTATCTTATCTTATTTCACCTAGCTAACATTTTATTTTTGTATTCATGCATATTTTACTAATCTGTCCCCTTTCAAATAAATATGTGTTTACATGAATGGTGACCAAACCATTTGAGACCCACTGAGATAGCTTGGACTAAAGTTAACTATCTAAACACTCAAATAGTCCTTTACCTAACTGAGCTGTAGTTACCTGAGCCTCTCAGTCTGACAGCAGAGTCACTCGCGCCACACATACCGACACCCTGCCGAGCTTGATTGACACACAGAGACCCATCGAGGGCTTTAATGTATGATCGGTGTGACAGTGGCCATGTCGGCAGGCCACATCATGTAGACAGCCAGTCCCCCTGTGTGAGGCAGGCCCACATTAACGCAGCGTCCTGTTCCCAATTCATACCAAAAAAAACTGCCAGAAATCCTAAGTATCTGTTGGCTTATGGAAGCATGTGTGTTTCCCACCAGTGTAGGTCAGAGGCAGCTGCTGTGTTTGGCCCGAGCTCTGCTGAGGAAGACCAAAATCCTGGTTTTGGATGAGGCCACAGCTGCTGTGGACATGGAGACAGACAACCTGATCCAGTCCACCATCCGCTCACAGTTTGACGACTGCACCGTCCTCACCATTGCTCATCGGCTCAACACCATCATGGACTACTCCAGGTAGAGTGAGTGAGTGAGTGAGTGAGTGAGTGAGTGAGTGAGTGAGTGAGTGAGTGAGTGAGTGAGTGAGTGAGTGAGTGAGTGAGTGAGTGAGTGAGTGAGTGAGTGAGTGAGTGAGTGAGTGAGTGAGTGAGTGAGTGAGTGAGTGAGTGAGTGAGTGAGTGTTCGTTCTTTTGCTCCTCGTACTGTGACAGTTCATCAGTGTTCTGATCCTCTAGGGTCCTGGTGTTGGACAAAGGAGAGATGACAGAGTTTGACACCCCTTCCAATCTCATTGCTCAAAGAGGAGCATTCTACAAAATGGCCAAGGACGCCGGGCTGGTGTGAAGCAGGAGGCTCCTCACTCTGTCCAGAATCGCCTCTGAGCCACCACAGCTCCTCTGCCGTCCTGCAATTAGGTCCTGAAATAAAGAGGGACAGGGAGATAAAGTGAGGAGTTGTTCTACACTTTGGAACAACTGTGTTTGACTATTAAAGCAAGGGTGTTAATGAGAACAAGGGTTTTAGTTGGACCTGCTCCAACACTGCTGGTTTTAGTAAGCAATACTGAAGTCAGAAGACGACATAAAGTATGTTGTCTTGTAAGTACAAAATCATATAGTGCCAAAGATTGCCTTCAAACATCCCAGTTGTTTTCAAATGCAGATGTCCCAGTTCCATAATATATAGTTAGAACGTACAACATTTCCTCCATATTAGTCGTTTGGACTATGCTGTTTTTTACGGTTACTATTGAAGAAATCAACTACTTTACAGTTTCATGCTAACAGTACCACCTGTAACCTGCACTCAGTGTAACGGATAAGGCAGGCATTATCATATCATTTCTTATTTGAAGGAAAATATAAAACATCCAAGAGCTTATCTGTAAAGCAGGTGTCATAGGGCACATTAAAGTTGAATCAAATCAATTTATAATTAGTAGCAAGTGGAACTGGGACTCAGCTGATTCTTGGACCTTATAGCTACCAAAGCTAGCTGAAATAGGGCAATGCACTTGTTTCTTATAGTTGAATGTAACATCAGTTGGAGTGATTCTTCTGAGAGAGAGAGGAGTGTTTTGCGGTTGTCTTATTTTCAGAGCATCATCACAACGATGTGGCCATGTGACGAGCAACACAAGGTGTGCCAACTGATTGGTCAGAAACAATAGTTGCGCTGATGATGTGACAGGAAGGGAAGGCTTGTGACATTGAACATCATCGCATAAAACACAACAATGCAAAACTTCTGGGAAACCTTTAGATAGATAACACTGACTGTTACTTTACATCCACCACTGATTGTATTTATTGTGTGTTTGTGTTTAATCGACAGCTTTAAATGTATGTGTTCATGCAAGTTGCTGATAAGGTCAGAGACTTATTTTAGGTGAATTCTAATGAGGTGACATTGTACTGAATGTACACAAAATGAATGCTTATAATTTCTTAATGTTCATTTTGTCGTTTTATGTACCCATTATAAATATTTGTATTGTGACTGACAGCAGTTTAGAAGTTGATTCGACAGGGTTTTTTACATTGCCGTTTTGGTGATAGTAAGTTACTGCGTTATTTTGACCGTTTTGATAAGATGCTGACATGGAGAAATAAATTCCCACAGTTTAGAGTGTGCACGAGGTAGCAGTTTAATGCTCTGAGAAACTCTGGTTATAGTAATACAAAAAAACATTCAAGTTCAGGTCAATGAATCTTAAAAATACACAGCAGAAAGTAATGATGTGAGTGCATTGAGCTACTGTACTGTATATTGTTATGATGTATCACTATAAAGACGTTACTGCTTTGCACTGCTGTCATTAAAAGAACATTACCTTGAAAAACAAATTCCTCCCTTCCTGATTCCATTTTGAAACGTGTAACTAAATTTTATGTTATTAAGCCAACCTACATACAAGACATAATGTATAGAGTTATAGAGCCTTTTGTTTCTAATAGGAACTGAAAACCATATGAAAAATGTTTGCACTCACTTCATTGTCACTGTAATAACTTGATCTAATGTATTCAATTCAGAGGGAAATCATTCTGAAATTAATTAAGATTCATCTTAAAAGTTTGCCATAGTGTGCACATACTGTATAGTCTCATGCTGTGTGTGAATCCAATGCAATACATAATCTTTTTCCTCCATTGACTAGATTCCCATAGTCACTGGTGGTTAGGCTGGTTTGTTAGTGTGAGGCTCCTGGATGATGACTGTTACCAAGTCATGATTGTGGCATTGTGAGAGCCACATATGGGATCTGTGTCATTCTTTAGTCTTGGCTGTAAAAGTTATGCTTCTGGTGAGCATTTTGTTTTACATATGTATGATTAAAGGAGTATATTAAAAGTTGTATTTATGCGCATCTTCATTTGCGTAATCAGCTTTAAAATATTAGACATGTTGCATTAGTAAAACATGTTATATTAAGAAAGACATATATACATTTAGCTAAATTCAAATAAATGGTTAGCAACATCCTTTCTGTAGTCATTTAATTTTAAGGTGAAACTCTTTGTACATTTCTTAAAACTAGAGAGCTTTGTTTAAATGACAGCAAAAACCATATGGAAACCAAGTTGAGGCAAAGATTTGCAATCCTTTTTACAAAACCTATAGATCATAATTAAACGATTGTAGTTGAAACTTATTTCATGCATTCAGTGTGCAAATGTTATATCAGTTCATAATATATATTTTTACATTTATATATCTATGTATTATTAATCTAATATTATTTGTTTTAAATCCTAAATCGAAAAACATCTGCACCATGTATAAATAAGAGAGAACGTGATAAAGCATCGGAGGCGGGACTCTGCTCATTCCTTTGAAAGCTGCTCAGTGGCGCATTAAGCCAAAAGGGCCTGAAGCTGTCGAGAGCAAATGTACCCGTATGTGGGCCCATATTGCAAATCAAAACATTTATTGACTACTAATTACCATAAATCGCAGTTCTATCTCCTGTTATTAATGCATTCAAATGGCCCCGAATGGCCCGCCACGAACTACCGGGAACTATCTGAGTTTCCATTAACCACGTGACGATCAAGCATTTTGGACTTCCGCTGTCGCAACTCTTTAGGGCTCTGGGGTAAAGTATTTCTGGGCCCAATGACGTCATGGGCCCACAAATACCCATGTGGGCCCATGACGTCATTGGGCGTCACAACGACGTCATAGGCGTCATGACGACAACACGGACGTTGTAGTACCCTAGTTTGGCCACTACGATCATTTGCTTCAACGTCCGGCGCACTGGTGGGCTTGGTAGGAACCAGAGCCGTTTAGGTAGGAACCAAAAGACGACGCGGAGGAGTGATGATTGCGCACTGAACTCAGTTTCCCAACATCCTTTGACCAAGCCCCCAGGAAGTGCGCCGGACTCTGATGAAAATATTCGTTGTGTCCAAACGGCGGTACTACAATTTCCGTATCAGTCCGTGACGTCATTGGGCCCAGAAAGACTTTTCCCCATTGACTAACATTGGGAAAGAAACGTCTATAAATCAGCAGATAATTTTTTTTAAACTAAATAAACTACCCAGTATGAACTATTGTATAGCCCTTATTATAATCATTAGGTCCTTAAAGTTGTAAAATGCACTAAAAGCCGAATCTAGATTTATTTTCTGTTTCCATTCATTCTACTGAGCCGAGAGTGGGAGCTCGGGGGGCGTGGCTTAAGGGGCGCATGCTCTGTGAGCGCACATACGGGTTCTTCTGCTCTGAAAGCTAGGCATGACGGGTAATCTGTGACGTTTCGCTCTCTCAAAAGTTGGGCCATTTTGTCATCATGCGCCAATGAGCAGGGTTGCGGTCGAATAGTCCATTTAGCTTAGGAACCTTCCTAACGGAGTGAAATGACCCTGAAGTACCTCAGTGGCAGCCATGATAAGTGCCGTTCGAATTCTCTAAACCAGGGGTTTTCAAAGTGTGGGAAGGTGAGCCTCCCATCAGAGAACATAAGAACAGCCGCGCCCCCCCCCTCCCAATTATTATTGCTATTATTATTATTATCATTGTTGTTGTTGCTATAATGCAGGGGTATTCAATTGCATTTCAAAGAGGTCCAGTAAGATAAAATGAAGACTGTTTCTCTCCTCTTGTCTCGTCTCTGTGTGTGTGTTTGAATCTATCGTGCTGGCTCACTGACTGCACCGATTTGATTGGCTGAGTAGCGTCACCTCCTTAAAACATTAAACAATAACTTTTTTAAACCTTTTTATCTTTATGTTTTAAACATATTGTATACAACTCCCCCACTACTTGGACTATTCCTTGCACCCCTCTAGAATAAGCCCAAATGGTCTCAACCATATTGCATCAGTAATAACGTGCACGTTGTTGTTATCGTTATAACAAGATCGCAAGGACACTGGTAGCGATCGGACAATTGAGTGTTGTTCAGTTTGTGTGTTGTGGAACATGCGTGTCCGTGCATGAAAATATACCACACACCCAATTACAATAGCATGTTCAATTCACTACCCTGGAAGTTAATAAAGTTGTTAAAGTTGGAACAGCCTGTGGACAGCCGTTCTTCCTTGCATGTCAGTCGCCGACACCTTCTTACAGAGGACAGGCAAATCTAGCTGCAGCACGACCCGTATATTTTCGCACGCCGTGTTCTCAACACATATTTTTAAAACATTTTTAACATTTTCAACATCGTGGATAAATCCTTATATGTTCCCCGGCAACACACTGAACGTCAATTTTGCCTCCTTATTACACTCATCCCTACTTTAGTGGGAACAATGAGTCTGCGTCTTTGATGCACACAGGAATAAACGCAGATCATACTCTGCACTTGATTTTGATCAAAGTCCATGCGGAAAACCCGCACTCACACAGGTAGGTGGAGATGAAGGGAATGAGCACTTTTACAGCCTTTTTGGCGAAGTGGGGGAACTCGGTCTCCACAGACAGCCAAAAGTGGGCAAGTGTCACTTTTCTCATCTTTTCTCGTTATTTTTTTTCTCACGCTGCGCCTCCCCTGAAGCTCTCTGGCGCCCCCCAGGGGAGGCGCGCCTCACACTTTGAAAACCGCTGCTCTAAACGAAAGGAAAGGAGGTTTCAAACTTCCTTTATAACCTCCTTTAGCTTAGGAACCACTGGACCTCCCTAATCGAAAGGAGAGGAGAAAATGTTGCCCCACAATGCCTTGCGGCCGCGGCATTTGCCGTCACACAACAGTCGGCCGTTCACGGAAACAACCGATTATGACCGAGAAATGATATCATGAAAGTTACGGTGCTTATTAAGCATTTTAAAACGTATGTGGTAAGTTGCCAAAGTGCTTTGTTTTGAACGTCCATCAGTATTATAATCAAAAAGAGAAATATGAACGTTAGTTTTTACTGAAATGATCAAATAAAATCAACATTTCACAGTCTTTACTGAGCTGTGTGGGGTTTGTTCAACTTTTAAAAGATGTTTGAATGGTGATATACACAGTGATAGATGTTAAGGACTAACGTTTATAATACATACATTTGTATTTATTTTAAGATCTTTTCATACAATAATACGTATTGGGATCATTTGTATTAATGTGGACCGGAGGGAGAGGGTGACGAGCATAAGTTTCACTTTCCTTTTTTATTTCAATTCCAACTTTGGTCATGAAGAATATGTTTCTCTGTTGTCCACGTTCATAAAGCATAAAACAACAGCATCAGAGCACGGTGCAGAGTCTCTAGATGAGTTTACAGTAGTCCCTCGTTCTTATTAAACATCCATGTTGTAGTCCGCTGTATAGAAAACTGTAGTTTCCATAGTTTCCCCACAGCAGCAGACGCACATTTATGACGTCCGCTGGCGCATCATAAACACGTGGGATAGTGAAAGTGCAGTCGGATTCTCTAAAGTACCGCAGTCTCTTCTCCTAAATCCTTTTGAATTCTCCTATCCACTATCCCTTAACCCCGTGACGTTTCACTCAGAGGTCAAGGAATAGACGATAGGGTTAGAACTTAGGAGCTGATTTTTCGACTATTCGACCGCAACCCAGCTCTCATAGGAAAGAACGAGACCCTGCCTCCGACGCTGTCCATTTAGCTTAGGAACCTTCCTATATGTTTCTCTGTTGTCCACGTTCATAAAGCATAAAACAACACCATCAGAGCACGGTGCAGAGTCTCTAGATGAGTTTACAGTAGTCCGTCGTTCTTATTATACATCCATGTTGTAGTCCGCTGTATAGAAAACTAGTTTCCATAGTTTCCCCACAGCAGCAGACGCACATTTATGACGCATCATAAATACGTCGGATAGTGAAAGTGCAGTCGGGTTGCAGTCGAATAGTCAATTTAGCTTAGGAACCTTCCTAACGGAGTGAAATGACCCGGAAGTACCTCAGTGGCAGCCATGATAAATGCCGTTCGAATTCTCTAGAGATGATAGGAAAGGAGGTTTCAAGCTGCCTTTATAACCTCCTTTAGCCTAGGAACCACTGGACCTCCCTTTACGAAAGGAGAGGAGATAAAGCTGCCCCACAATGCCTTGCAGCCGCAGCATTTGCCGTCACACAACATTCGGCCGTTCACGGAAACAACCGATTATGACCGAGAAATGATATCATGAAAGTTACGGTGCTTATTAAGCTTTTTAAAACGTATGTGGTAACTTGCCAAAGTGCTTTGTTTTGAACGTTCATCAGTATTATAAT